TCGTAACGCCATCCGTTTTCAAGATACAAGGTGTTGAAACAATATTTTTTTTACACATTTTTTACGATTATGTTGAAACTACTGGCAACATTGTGATGAAATTTTGTATGGATGTTTCTTGGAATCTGACACATCGCATGCATTTGTTTTTATATCTGACTCTCATAGAGGGCGCTAGTTACACGTTTCGTACCGAGTAGTTTTGAACATAACTTTTTTGAGGTTAGATTTTTCAATCCATATTTGATGTGAACTTGAACATCATTCAATTTCACACCAAAAAGGTACTCTTGGTAAACCTCGATACTGTGTTCCGTTTTCGGAATATTTCGATTTGAAAATGATGAAGTGGTAACTGTTGCTGGTGTAAAGCTATGTATTAGAGTGAGTATTATGAAAAATTATCACCTATTCATTGAAAACCGAAAACAACAATACATTTCTGATGCAACACTCATTGATTTAACAATGAATCACAAGAATAACATCGAAACCTCGATCGAAACAGATTTGACTAAAAACAAAAAGTCTATGCTACATAGGTAAATTCACGTCAAGAGTTGTGAGACATAATTGAACATCACTTAAATGACCTAACAGCTGATCCTCAGAAGAAGAAAATTACATTCTTAAAAAAAGAATATAGAATCGTGTATTCCTCGAAACGTAGGACATTTTGTACACTTACTCTAACTGATTCAATATTTCATGTTTCATGTTTCTAGTCAAATATCTCTTAATTTTCTACTTATGATCCTTTGTTCCATCAATAACTTTAGCACAAGAATAATTTCATTGTTTTTTAACCTGAATAAATAGGTAATTGAACTCAATAAAATTTATTTTATACCAGCATCATTACTACTCCATTATATTCAAATCGAAATATTCCGAAATCGGAACATAGTATCGAGTTTCACCAGGAGTGCCTTTTTGGTGTAAAATTTAATGATGTTCAAGTTCATATCATATTTGGATTGAAAAATCTAACCTCAAAAAAGTTATGTTCAAAACTACTCGGTACGAACCGTGTTACTAGCGCCCTCTATGAGAGTCAGATATAAAAACAAATTCATGCAATGTGTCAGATTTCAAGAAACATCCATTCGGAACAATCGCGAAAAATGTGTAAAAAAATAATTTTTTCAACACCTTGTATCATGAAAACAGATGCCGTTACGACATTTTCTCACTGAGCAAATCCAACTTATTTTTCAATGTTCTACCTACCAACCTACCCTAGCAAGGGGGTTAGGTTTTTTTGAAACACCCTGTATATTGTACTGGGTCTTTCACGGCGAGTTGAATGGATAGGTATGTATATGCGGAACTACTGATAGGTACTAGTTTCCTGTCATTTTTTATACCAGGGGTTTTCGAATTGATCGTTTGAACTAAAATATTCTCAGTTTTCTACATCTCCAGATAATCCCGGAAATGGACCTCAGCTTCGTTATTTTGAATAGAAGGTACCATTTTTTATTGATTTTTATGAATCTGCGCTGAATGTTGCCTCATTCAGTTCGCGTTACTAAAGCGTGAGGTCAATGTCAAAATTGTCAATGTCAAAAATCCCAATAATTTTGGAAATACTTGAGCAGACTTACGTTTTTCTACTCTCAATGGGAAACTTTACGACCGATTCTTACATTGACAAAGAAGAAGATATCATAGGAAGAGGCCAAATCACACGAAAAGAAGTATTTATCAGATCTGGCCTCACGTCTCAGTATAGCGCGATATGGTGGACAATGAAATAATGTTAACCCTCTTTCCTATGTAAAATTCAGAACATCATAAAAATATGTCTACTTAGAGTTATTCAGGATTCTTCCGAATTTTTGGAGAGATGCAGAATCTCTGAATTAAATAGTCTGACCAAATAATTTCACGCTCCTAAAATGCGTAAATGTTTCCAAAAAGTGAAATTACAAGTTTTTTTCCAATATTTGAGCTGAATATTGAGGAAAATATACTGAGTCAAAAGAGCATAGTTGTCAAAAGTATGTCAATTCAAACCCAGAGCGACTCGAGTAGGTTGAATGGTCGACTCATAACAGCACAAAACTGAAAGATTAGGAAATTCGATTTTGATAAAATTTCTTCTGAACCATTTTTATGGCTTGAAAACTTCGTGGATTTTCAAACAAACAAGGTGTCACTGACTCTAGATTCAATTTTTCTATTAGGTTTCCTACAGTGAAATCTCGAGTGAATTAATAAGAACAGTGACATTTATGTGCAAATCATCTGATTTGTCCCTACTACAAGTGTATTGAAGTAATATCAATATTTTTATTCATATAGACGAAAAGAGAAAATCCCAAAAATCTAGACAAATGAACATCCCTATTTCTTCGATAATTATACAGGGTGTTATTCGAGTATATGTAGCCAAACTTGAAGGGGCGATGTGTTTGGTGATTCTAAGACAAGAAGTTTAAAATTTGCAAAATACACAGTGTGCAACTGTTTTAAAAATAAGTTTTTTGTATATCTAGTAACGGCTCAGTTAATACCTTACCACTACAAATAACACTGCAATATTTCAACAAAAGTGGATCAGAGATTTTTGCGATAATCACGGAAAGCAATTTTTTCTCAAATCTTTGGCCCTGTCCGGAAATATAGGACATATGTTTACATAAACTTTTCGACTTAGAATCACTCGAAAAATCAACTCTTGAAGTTTGGCCACATTCTTGAATATTACCCTGTATAGAAGTAGGATTCTAAAATTTGCAGGAGCGAGAGATCTATCGATGATACATTCAATGATCAGATAGTATTATCATAATCAATATCACGATGTTCTGAATTTTCAAGATCATTCTGTCGCTTCATTGTTCACAAAATTGTGTTTCCTCAGGACGAGTGGTATTTCGGTACAGCAACACTATTAAGTTAACAATGAAAGACAACATTATGAGAAGATATTCAGAACAGAGCGGTATTCTGCTAGACTATTTCACGCATTTATAATGAATGAGTGATTCATTCTGACAAGTATAGCTATAATTATTTCATGCCAAACTGACAGACTTTGCTTCGCTATCCATGGTTACATCGTTGAAAACATCAACGCTGATAGACCAATCAGAATTGAGAGACAGCTAATGTTTTCGCAATAAACACACGTTGTCTCTGGCTTGGTCAGATTATGTGATCAGTAAAATATTCATCAGTCAAGTATACACTGTCCGCCAGTATAGTCATGATATCATATCGAGTATCATAATTATTATCCGGAAAATGATATAAGGGGGCAAGAAAGGTTCAACATCGCTACCGGTGTGAAAGCAGCAACGCGACATCATCCAGCAACGAATGAGATCAGCACGGGCAGGCCGCAGAGAGACGATATGAAATTCCAACTTTGAGGTCAGGAAAATCTTTCAAAAATCAATTCCTGACCTCTAGGTTGCAATTCGAATTATATAGATAAGAGGGTGGAAGAGGGGTGGAATGGATGCTACAAAATCACACAACTATCTGATCGTGTTCAGGAAGTTATTTAACATCTGTTTCAAGAAAAAATTTTGCAAAAATCAATTCCTGACCGCTAAGCTGGAATTTGAGTAGTTGTATTGATAAGAGGGTGGAAGATGGGTGGAATGGATGCTACAAAATCACACAACTATCTGATCGTGTTCAGGAAGTTATTTAACATCTGTTTCAAGAAAAATTTTTGCAAAAATCAATTCCTGACCGCTAAGCTGGAATTTGAGTAGTTGTATTGATAAGAGGGTGGAAGATGGGTGGAATGGATGCTACAAAATCACACAACTATATGATCTTGTTGAGTGAAGTGTTTTCTATTTATTATAGCAGATTAAATCGTGAAATTCTATGCGATTTGAAAGAGTTCTATCGATATCGTCTCTCTGCGGCCTGCCCGTGTTGATCTCATTCCTTGCTGGATGATGTCGCATTGCTGCTTTCACACCGGTAAAATCTCTACGGATTCAAAATCGGGACATCAACATTACTATCGATACAATATGATTTTTGACTGAAAAATTCTCAGGTCTGATGATTCCACTTTCATCTCCCTTCTCTTGGAAGCACTCCTGTATGTTTAGTTATTTCTCTGATGGGATTCATACTTTCTCAGTGGAAAGATACAAGGGCGCTTCCAAAAGGAGTGAAAAACACTGAATATTGAACAGTTCATGTTTCTATAATCATGATACTATGAGATGGTGCTCTCTTTTCCAACATTTTCATAATTCACTTCTGTAATTAACTCATGTTTAATGTATGTGAATGTTAATATTCAATGGTATTCCTGTAGCTGAATGTCGTGTGGTAGTGACCTGTTTATTATTTATGTTTTAGATTTGTGGTCTATGTGTTGTGTTCATATATATAGATTTTTTTTCGATTTTTTCTTATTGTTGAATGCCGAACTGTTTAGAATATAGTGTGTAGTATCGAATACTCGATCGAATATATCGAATATATTGAAGAACAAATGAAAACATTTTCATTGCTCATTCCGATAATAAGATTGATACACGTTCACTATAGTAGTTTTTGTTCAATCCAAAATTTCAAATTGAAATCTTGAAAATATCGATTTTTATTCTCCCACTACATCTCATATAGGTAAAATAATAATATGTAGTTATCAACTAATTATTGTTGTTTATCTTGCCAAAAAGTGTTTTTGTCGGTATCTTCTATGATGCCTCTTGAATTACTCAAGTCCGATTACATTAGATTCTTGACTATCTACCTACTTCAAAGTGCATTTTTTTAGAGCTGTTCAGATAGTATTGATTGACTGAAGTGCATTTGCAGAAATAGTTCATTATTACTGATTTCAAAGTTTTTCATTTTCACCTTCAAAGGAGACGCTTTAGTGTCACATTTTGGTAATAGAAAGAATCACGTCTGAAGCAGTTGGAGATTTTTTCATTCTAGTTTTTTTTCTCATCATTTTCAAACGATTAGGTACCTACTAAGATGACTTACCAATCGGTGTTTCCGTATTTTAGAAGTTCGACAAGAGGCCGTTCAACAGGCCCTGGCACAAGCCATGCAAAACAGACACAAACCGTCGATGCCTATGCCGTCCAAGAGAACGTCAGTGATGGCCAGAAGTCCGGACAGGGAAAGACACGATTCAGGTAAGAAAATTGTCTAATGATAACAATAACTGGTCAACCAGTGTTAGGAAGTTGTTGGGAATTATCATTTTGGAAATGCGACTTCGCATTGTTAATGTTGATGTTGATGTTGATGTTGATGTTGATATGCGTATAATATCCGCAACATCATACATCGTCAATATTCTATATGGGTCTATGAGATGCCAGGATATCACAATGTAGATTCATTTTTAGTTGTCATAGAGAGCAAATAGGCAATATCTGAATGTGACATTCTGGCATATTCTGGTGACCATATGATAATGGTTATCAAAGCAGTTTTTATAATATCCGCAACATCAAACATCGTCTATATTCTATATGGGTCTATGAGAAGCCAGGATATCACAATGTCCGTCTTCCACACAGCAGAACCGACAGTCCGTTTGTTGGTTCAGACCCATTCTTCCTAGGTGGTATCTTAGATGACAGTATCCCATAAGCAGTCCTGTCAGAATTCTCTGGTTACCCCTGCTTCATTCTTGGATCTGCCTGGTTATATTTTTCGATGGTTTAGGCAGAAACGCCTTCGAATGGGTTAATCCTGGTAATTCAGTCCGAAATAGTTGTTTTGGCCGCACTTGCGGTAATCCCAAAGTATGGTTCTGGTCCTATGAACACAGTATCGGTTCCCTGTTTGGCGAGGATGTCGGCTTTCTCGTTGCCTTCCACCCCCTGATGTCCAGGCACCCACACCAAAGTAACTATGTTGTTTGCACCTAGACATTCTAGTGATTCAATAGAGCTCCATACAAGCCTGGAATTCATCTTGCTGAAGCTCAGTGCTTTAAGAGCAGCCTGACTGTCAAGAGGTCTATTCATTTACTCTCTAGCACACAATTCAATTGCGAAGACCTCCTCATGAAAGATTGTAGCATATTTGCCGAGATTGACAGAGATTTTCGTCTTCTGTTTTCTGCTGAACAAACCGTGTTCAACTCCAAGAGCGGTTTTCGAACCATCTGTGTCCACTTACCCAGTGGGCTCTCTTCGGGAAGATTACTTTGAAAGCTTTTTCACGTGTGTCTGAGTAGCCAAAATGTTGTCGGAAACCATTCCTAGAGTTTGGTGATTTTTTATTTCACAAAGTATCCTGGAGTGGTCCAGCAGTCGCCCCCCTCTAATTTGATTTTCCAGTGATAGTATAAAACCATTCTGGTTTCCCTCTACAAGAGAATGTGGAGGGGAGTGAGGTTCAGAAGGTGTTCTATCGCTGCCTTTGAAGTAGAGGACATCGCCCCTGTAAAGGCCAGGCATGCCAGCATTGCCAGCCGCTGAAAACCAGCAAGCTTTGCCCTGGCTGTCCTTTGCAGACCTTTAGTCCACCAGACTACCGAGCCATACGTGACCATTAGCTTCACCATTGTTTGGTAAATCCAGTAAACCTGTTCGTCATTCTGCTTGATGTGTCGCATACCCTTCTGAGGTTCCAGAGGAAGAATCTTGCTTCGTTAATAGATTTTGCCATGTGGGCGTACCAGGTGGATTTTTTATCTAGGGTGACTCCTAGATATTTCACTTCCTCCGCAAACGGAATGCTCTCTCCATTTAGGACAGGTGTGTTCTGATAATGTCACATTTCGACGGCTGTCAAATCAACCGTTTCGGATTCACTGGCGAAAGACTAAATCCGCCGTTTTCGGTTTTTCGCCGATATTTCCAGAACCAATCAACCGATCGTAAATCTGAAGTCAGTTATCGAATGCACTACGCTGTCTCTAAAACTTTCTCCGTTCAACCATTGCTATAGGTATGTTAGGGACCCCGATATCCTTGTATAGAGAAGTGAATCTGTGGGTGAACAACTTAGAGCGGCTGTCATCAATCCTTTTTCCAACTTTGATCGTCAATATCTTCCGTTAGCGGAAAGCTATCGTGTTGCAGTTTTCGTTGGTCTGTTGCGTTTCAGTTTTTCTATTTGATCGTGTAGTAATATGCATACATTACATTTTCAATTCACGATATCTATTGATACTCCAGATCACGCCGACAGCCGATCTTAGTTGTTTACCTGGTACTGTGAATGTGAGCCCGGCAGCGTATTTCCGAACCCCTGTGCAGTACAGAGCTCAGATGCTGTGGGATGCACGTGGGTTCGTAGGTCATTACCGCGGATATTGGCACTCCGTACCATAGTTCATTGCCACAGAGCTCGTGCAAAATAAATCACAATAATTTGTGAATAGATAGAAGAAAACTGATGGAGGTGCCTGATGGTCAATTTTTATGACAAACCACGGCTTTGAAACTAATTTTCGTCAAAAAAATTAGTTATTTAGTTTTCTGATTTTTGTGATGTACCTTATTCTTAGAAAAGGAGGCCATAAAATGGTATTCGTTGACCATCTGATAGATCTTCTTGGGTAGTATATTTTGAACAAAGAATGAATTATTGAATCGTTAATTCTACTCCTGAGTTTTTAATTCTACTCCTTGCAGCGAGTTCCCCTATATATTTTTTCATTGCTATTCAACTCAAAAGCTCTGTATATGGATCGAAATGATCAGCTAGCGCGTGTATTCCGTGACATTTCTGTGGTGTTCCGTGACGTTTCCGTGTTCCGTGACGTTAGAGTTACATTTCCGTGGCGTTTCCATAACAATTCCGTAGCATTTCCATCTTCCGTGACGTTTCCGGACACTTCCGTGGCATTTCTGTGGCATTTCCGTGATATTTTCGTGTTTCGTGATGGTTTCGTGACATTCCGTGACACTTTCGTGGCATTTCTGTGGCATTTCCGTGACATTTTCATAACATTTCTATGTTCCGTTACGTTTTTGTGACAATTCCGTGGTATTTCAAGGTGTTTCCATGTTTCGTGACGTATCCGTGACACTTCCGTGGCATTTCTGTGGCATTTCCGTGACAATTTCCTTTAACCCTTCATTGAGTTTTGTTCAAGAGTTTTGTGATATATTTCAGGGCTTGCCAGAATACTTCCTTTAGTGAAGCACCGAACTGTTTCACGTGTTTTGGTTAGGAGCTGTTCGACGTATCTGTCTGATATACAGTGTGACCCACTTCTAATGGAACCACCCCTGTATCTTACGTAATCGTTGGGTAAGGATCCTGAAATTTGCTGGAGCGAGAGATATACCAAAAATGCACTCTATGACCAAGTGGGGTCATCTTCAGTGATATACACTGCTCGCCAACAGCCATGAAACTACCCCAATTTCCGGAAAATGATATTAGGAGTCAAAATAGGTCGAAAATCACTTCAGATTTGGAATCAGGACGCCCAATTTACAAACTATTCAAATTTTTCCTGGAAAATTTTCAGTTCGGAAAAATGAAATTTTGTCGCATTTTTTATGGAAGCACCCCCGTATCTCACGTAATTGACTTCATCTTTGGACTTTCTCTTCCTCCGGCAAATTTCAGAACCCTACCTCAATAATTACGTGAGATACGGGGGTGCTTCCACAAAAAACGCGACAAAATTCCATTTTTCCGAACTGAAAATTTTCCAGGAAAAATTTGAAAAGTTAGTAAATTGGGCGTCCTGATTCCAAATCTGAAGTGATTTTCGACCTATTTTGACTCCTAATATCATTTCCGGAAATTGGGGTAGTTTCATGGCTGTTGGCGAGCAGTGTATATCACTGAAGATGACCCCACTTGGTCATAGAGTGCATTTTTGGTATATCTCTCGCTCCAGCAAATTTCAGGATCCTTACCCAACGATTATGTAAGATATAGGGGTGGTTCCATTAGAAGTGGGTCACACTGTATGTTTGCTGGGCACACCTAAAGTAGGCAGTTCTTGCAGCGAGTATCCCTGTATATTTTTTCATTGTCATTTAACTCAAACGCCTTGTATATAGATTTATATCATCAGTTAGCGCGTCATCTGCCATACCTTGCCTGTTCAATATGTTTGCTGGGTTTACCTGAAGTGGTAATTTCTTGCAGCGAGTATCCCTGTATATATTTTTTCACCACTCTATGACACGTTGTGAATAACTGCCCGAACTGCGGAAATGGCCAACGATCAGATACTCATGAATTATTTCATTGGTGGTTATAAATGTACTCTTGCGTACCGTCAGGACTGAATCTGCTCCAAACGATATAATGTATTTTAAAACGAAGACAGCAATGGATGAAACTCAGAAGTACCGTCAGGCACTAATGGGTTAACTACTCCACTTGCCCATTTGTCTAAGAAAGCGTTTCGATCCTTATAGAATCCTCCTCGGACGAGGACAGCATAGCCAACGAGGAGCCTGTGGAGGGCACGCCCGAGCGCGAGAAGTCCAAGGACCGGATAACGCCGCAGCTGTTTCCGCCGCCGCCGCTGTCGGATACCAGCAGCACCGGCTCGCCGCCGCCGCCGCTGCACCACCGGCCGCGGCTCGCGCAGCCGCACCCCTGGGAGGACAAGCGGCGGCAGGACGTCACGGACATCAGCGACGTGCTGCAGAACTTTCGGCCATGTGAGTGTTGAGTACAATAGAATAGCATAGATGTTTATTTGGCTCGATATCCAGAAAACAAATTTACGTAACTAACGCATAAACATTACATAATTTCGTTGATCAGTTACGTAACAGAAAAGGTGATAGAGTGTTGAAGTGTTGCCATGAACGTTAACGTAAACGCAGAAATTGACAGCTACGCATGCGTATTTTTAATTCTTCACGTTTACGTAGGTCAGGGGTGCCCATACTTTTTCTTGGGGAGATCGACCTAGCAAACATATTTGACTAGGAGATCGATATTTCAACCATACATCCCAACAACTGAAACCAAAATATAATGACACCATCATACCATCATTTCAGCCTCTTGAACGTCCACTGCTAGACATAAAGGCCTCTTTCAATGATTTACGCGACGAACGGTCTGCGTTTTTTGCATATTATTAAATTTTCAATCATCCAACACTACAAAAATAATAAAAAATATTACTGCTGAGTGATAAAAAAAAAATTATTTGAACGCTGATGTCGAAGCATGACATTGGTGGTCCTCCGCGAAATTTTTATAATTAGGGATGTTTTCTGTTAATGCTAAACGCAAACAGGCTGTCAGGTGGTCATTTATTAGACGTGTGCGATATTTTGATTTCATTATGATCATATGCGGAAATGCAGACACGCACAGATATGTTGATGCAAAGAAAGCAGTTATTTTTAGGGCAATTTGTTTCATAAATGGATATTTTATTTCGGATATTGATGACCAGTAAGAATAAGAATCACCGTTGCCGGCTCTAGCTTTTGAATTTATATCCGAAATGAGCTTCAACATTTCATACTCAAGAGCAGTACATTCCATATTAAAATAGTCGCTACAGCTAGAAGAGATTTCATGAACATTTGTGATCGACTGTGAAAGCCTTCGCGATCGACCGTATGGGCACCCCTGACGTAGGTAGTGGGCTTACGGGTGTACGTTATCTCACGTACTTCCACGTATACCTCAAAAAATATTAACGTACGTTAACCAAACTATACTCGGGATATGCCGATGAGTCAAAATTATTAAATTCGGGATCCCAAAGGAGTTCTACATCAAGGCGTCCTCTCATTTTAACAGGAATAAATGTTCAGATCTGAACAAACAACCAAAAATGAACAATATAAAATGAAAACAAAGTGTATTATTACGTTACGATGACAGTGACGACCAAAGAAACGACTTCAACTCAATTTAAAGACAATACGTAAACGTTATTTTTCGTAGGTTAACGTCTACGTGGAGGTCTACGTACAGTGAGCACTTCCAGTCTCTATTGAGTAGGTTAACTGTGCATAATGTCCGCATCACGTTACATCATATGTTACATCGCTTCTATGTAATTCTAGTTATATCATTTTCACATCAATGTGACGTCAGAACCTAGGTAACATGTACGCCTCACTTATATAATTGAGAGATAACTATTATATTTCTGTGAATATAATCAAAAAAGAACTACCAGAGTAATTAATACTTTATTGAACAGAAAATATATCATACAAGTGAAAATTTACTAACTTACAATATGATGTTCTTAGAGGTTGAGGCTGCCACTTTTATATTCCCTCTTTGGTCTTACTAATATAATACTTAAACTCCGAATTCGTTTGGGATAGTTGCTGCCAAGCATATTTTGATATTATTAGGTACCTATTTGATCTTCATGGATTTCATATTGGTGATCTAAAACAATGACATAAAACAATAATCAATTTATATGTCTCAAAATCTTCTCAACATTCTGACTTGGCTGATGCCTATTGGCACAAATTACCTTAAATTGCTGATGAATGTGATAAACGATCATCATCTACCTTGCAGACCCCGTTTTCTTGTTATATGTGGAAAAACATGCATCAAACATATATTTCAACTCACCAAAATAGAGTATTTCACGTTCCAATCAAATTTCTGAAACTTAGATAGGTTAATTCTTAAGGCACTAGTTCAACTGGCTGGTCAAGGAACAATGACACAACAAATCATAACAACTTTGACGCCATTTTATTTCTTACTTGAGACGAGAGTGACGAGACCCCTCCGACCTTCGAGCGGGTCCAGCTCGATTATCTATCGTTAGAGTTCGTTCGTGAAAACTCGAGAAATACTGCAATTAGATTGGTCGTTATCACGTCCGTTTGTTGAAGATGAATTTGTTGTGAATGAATTTATATAAATTTGACATGATTCCCTAGATATATTGTGATATTGATTATGTTCATAATCATTGTTATGAAGATATTATATTATTAATATGTTAGAATGTTATGTAAAAGAAATATCACTGTTATATGGAACATAGCTGTAAATTCAAGGGAAATAAAATTATGTAAGTTTTGTATCTACAATTAACAGCACATTGACGTCAATTTGGAGGAATCAAGCTATGAAACTCAAGGCATATGTATGTAAATATTACAAGTGTGTTTACTGGGTAAGAATATGTTTTTCTAATAATCTCATTGAAGGTATGTGGTGTAGCTATTACATTACATATAATCAACAATTGACTTCATTTTGAGAACATAAACAATGTTATCAAATATTCAAGTACATTTGCCTTAATCTAGTTTTGAATACTATAACATTTGGTGATGTTTTTACTATTAATGGTGAGTTATTATACACTTTCAAGCCTTCGATAAAGAGTGTTTTCTCCATCTGAGAATATTGCTTTATACCTATTTCCAATATTTTCATCTTTTCATGTAATTCCAATATTCCCATGTATTTCCAATATTCCCATATATTTCCAATGTTTCAGGAAATATTTCCGAAAATATATTCTCGTAAATTTTACAACACTATGCATAACAACTCAAAGATCATTTATGACCCCCAACTGAATTTTTCCATACATATTGATTATCTCTGTAGAAAAAATGGCAAAAAAGTCTGGTATTTCTGATCGTAGAAATCTTTCCTTATGATACAGAAAAACTGTGTACAATATAATAATATGTCCACATTCCAATTATTGTATGTCAATGCTTATTTCTTGCTCAGATGAACAAATGTATCGGCTACAATCACTTCAAAACAAAGTAATGATAGTTATTTTCAAATGCAACAGATATACACCGATAATCTCAATGTTAGAAAATTTAAATTTCTTGAATATCCGTCAACTTATTGCTGAGTCATAATTGGTTTTATTGAATAAGATTGTAAATAAGCAAGAATCTCATTGAAATATCTGAGGTGGTAGATTATAATTTGAGATAAACAGATCATTACCCGAGGCATATAACCTCCAAAAATTTAAGAAGAACACCAATTCCTACCTTATTTCCCTTGGTTCTCACGATGTTTCCTGAACATTACAGGATATCCCTTTTCGGGGGACCCAGAACATAAATAAAAAAGTATTTCATTTCCCAGATTCCCAACCACCCGACGTGACGCACACGAGCAGCCAAGAAGCGCGACGGACGAACGCCGACCGGCTCAACCGGTACGCGTCCTCCACCTCGGAGGAGACCGTCGGAGGCACCGGTACCGGCACCGGCCGTTGGAAGGTCTCCACCAAGATCCAGCAGCTGCTCAACACGCTGAAGCGGCCCAAACGGCGGCCGCTGCCCGAGTTCTACGAGGACGACGACATCGAGCTGGAGATCGCTGCCAATCCGAAGGACCCGAACGCGCCCAAGCCGGAAGGTGGGTTTTTCCTTAGACTGAATAAAAAGAGATAGATACCTTTTTCATTCATGAATCGTTAAAAAGTATACGCCAACAATACTAAACGGCAAACACGGATAAATTAAGAAATCACGAATGGAATCATTGCCAAATCATTGATATTCGTTTCAGATATACAGGGTGAGTCATGACTAACCAGCCATAGCCTAATGGCAGATAAAGAAAGTCAAGGTGAGTTGATATGTATTGGAAAAAATATATTCTGCCTATTCCTAACAGTTATACAGGGCATTATTTGAATTCCGGGCGAAATTGTCTGAAATTCGCCAGCATATCACCTCTACTGACACACCACTCGATGGCCTCCTATGGAAAAAAAATTCCAGAGCCGCCAAAACTTATTTCCTTTTCAAATGTCAAAATTTCGACTTTCTGAATCGTATTTTTCAAAAACTTTCATCAGAATCAGTAAGATGAGGAAAACACTAAAAGTGTAGCTTTTCAATTCGTACGGCCGGATTGGTGAAAAAATATCTAACAAAATACTGATGAACGATTCCATGATTTCGTACTGGCTATTGTAGTCACATCGTTCATCAAATTCATTCAAATTCATTGCATATCGTTGTATTATAATGAGTTGAGCAAGGCTCTATTCGATGAAAAAATTCAGGACCGGACTTAGTTTTCTTGAAGAGACCTTTCAAAACATGGAAATAGGTACCTCTTTTTTGAAAAAATTCAATACCTTCCTCCTCTCCCTATACAGTGTGTCCATTTAGTGAGTAATTCTTCGATATCTCGAAAGCCATAACCTATAGAGAAAAACTTTGAAGGAAAAACCTTCTCAGTTACTGAAGTTGCTTATTTCAAAAATATCTCCAACATTACTGGGTGTTTCATAAAAGCGGGACGACTCGGAGACGAGTTTATTAAAATGGAACACAGTATTGTTTCTTCGGAATTTATTGCGCCGAAGTTTACCTTCACATCGCTGTAAAAAAATGGAATCAGTTGCGGCGTTGCCAAGTTATAATTGATAAATCCATTTTTACCACTATTGAAGAGTCATGCTGAATTGGGCATGGTATATTCATTTATTCAAATTTTGAAAATATTTTTGGCAAACGATAAAAGCAAGGTCTCACGTATACATATCCAGTAATCTTGCGACATATTCTTCAACAGGGTGCTCAATTTTGCATTTAGAATTCTGCAAAATTCAGATGACATTCATTAGAATTTTTCACATGGAACACCCTGTATTTTCATTCACAAATTCATTCCGACATCTTTCGCCATTTTATCGCTGAAAAAAAAATTGAAATCGGTTGCGGCGTTGTCAAGTAGTGGATAATTTCCTTACTTTTACTACTATTTCGGGTTAATTTGTACGTCATAGTTCTTTCATTTATTTGTATTGTGGAAATATTGCGTTGCTACAGTTTAATCAAATTTCTTCATTGACCATTCATATATTTTTTTACAATATGAACATTTACAGGCTCTCCAAGTTTGAATTTAAAACAGTGTGGGTTTAGACAAATTGATACAAATTGCTACTTTCACAGATTTTTTGCAGACTATGATTTGATTTTGCGAAATACACTTCCATTATTTATGTAATGATCTTGAATTTATTTAACATTTTGCTGAATTTCCTCTCGAAACTTGCGTAGTGAAGAAATATTGTTTGTATCTTTATGTAGAGTTTGCCTCCTTCAAGTTAAATGGAGATTTCGATTGTGGGAATAACGACAATAAAAGTGGTCCATTTTTTAAAAAATTGTCCTTATTCTCGCAATGCTAATCTCCATTGTTTGTATTGTAGAAGTTGTTTTAAAGGCAGGCGATGCTTTTGGCATGTTTGCTTGTTTCACATAGGTACATATTATTCAAATTATATAAGTAACAAGATTATTTCAAATTTGGACAATGCACATACGTAGCACCTCTAATGACATGTAGCATGCAATATTCCAAAAATCAAATCAAATAAAAGAAACTATGCCTTATAAGTAGCCCTGAGATAGTGATGAACATAAGTAAATAACTCATAACTTGAAAACGCCGCAACCGATTTGAATTTTTTCTCAGCGAGGAAAAGTCGAATGATGTCGAAATAAATCTGTGATGAAAAATACAGGGTGTTCCATTTGGAAAATTCTTATGAACGTCGTCTGAATCTTACAATATTCAGAATGTAAATTTTAACACCCTGTGAAGGATCATCTCGTGAAATTACAGGATTGGTGTACGTGAGACCTTGCTACTAATGTATGCCAAAAATATTTTCAAGATTTCATTAAATGGATGAACCATACCCAATTCAACATGGCCCTTCAAATGGGTTTATCAGTTATAACTTGGCAACGCCGCAACGAAATTCATTTCTCTAATCGCTGGATAGATCGTGGAGGCCTTCATTCTGGGCCACCTAGGTCCCCTAATCTCACAGTATTAGACTATTATCTATGGAGACATATGAAACGATTGGTCTATCAAACTGAAATCAACACCAGAGAGGAACTGAGAGAGAGGATTGTTACAGCTTCAGATATGATCAGAACTAACAGGCAAATTATTCGAAAAACCATAAGACATCTTCCGAAGATATACAGAAAATGTATAGACATTTAAAGGAGGACATTTTGAGAATCTTCGTTGAAAAATATTCGGATACAGACAATTTTTTTCGAAAATGATGATTTGTAATTCTTTCCAAAAACCAAATCCGGTTCTCAATTTTTTTTAATGATATCTTTTCTCAACTCTGCTGCTATATCATATGCAAAATAACTGATTCGAATACTTTTAGTTGAATGTACGAAATCGAAGAAATATTCATCTGAAAAGTTGAAAAGCTACACTTGTAGTGTTTTTCCTGATCATTCTGATTCTGATGAAAGTTTTTGAAAAATACGATTCAGAAAGTCGAAATTTTGACATTTGAGTTTTTCAAGTCCCGCTCTGGAATTTTTCTTCCATAGTAGGTCATCGTGAGGGGTGTCAGGTAGTAAATTGTTGGTGAATTTCAAGCGAAAACGTCGTGAGAATCCTGAATTATCGTTCATCAAAGTTTCGCCCTGAATTCAAATAATGCTTTGTATTTCTGTTATGAATAGCCAGAATTTATTTTTTCACATATATATCAACTCACCTTGACTTCCTCTATCCGCCATTAGGCTATGGCTGGTTAGTCATGACTCACCCTGTATATCTGAAACGAATATCAATGCTTTGGATATATAAATCTAATTAATCGGGATTTCTATAAATGTGTGTGCTTATGTGTATTGATAAATTAACTCTCTCGTGTTGTAACATAAGTAATTTTGTAACGTCCTAATGAGGGTATTTGATATTTGGAAATAACTTTTCTTTACAGATTTAATACTGCCAAATCATATTTATTCAGATAATAGTCTGCTTTGTCTGCTTTAGATTTATAATATTAAATGAATGAATGAAACACCGAAAACAGATCACACAACAACCGGAAAACCATTAATAACAATATAACCGACAAATGATATTTCTTATGACGATTATTGCTCGTCAAATATGAAACTTGGCGGCACCACGTTCATATTCAACTAATTTATATTTTTCATTTGCCTACCTTACAATAACTAATAAGTTTATAATAATTATTAGTAGTGAATTTCTGACAATTAAATTACTATTGGTGTATGTTATAAAGGTTGTTCTATTTTTTGTCATAAGCTATACATATATGTAGCTAGTTTAATAAGATGTTTTATCTTAAAAATCTTCTAGAATTATCGATTTAGCAGCGGTTCCGCAAAGGTCTCTAAAATGTGATTCCTTTTGTATGGACACACTCGTCATATTGTTAAACAGCTGAACGAGAAACATGAGGCAGGAATATGTTTTTTGATGGATGGAATGTAATTTTTCTGTACCCGTTCATTGAACGAGTGCGACATATTTTTATTTTGAAACCCTAACATTGGCGTAATACCAAAGGCATATAATGCTCATTGTTTAGTTACATCAATATTAGGTCAATGAATGTATTTCCATCAATATAATATTGGATCTTGAAGCTTCAACGTCTTTTGGCAACTCAAATAAATGTTGGTCATCATTCTTAGAATTTTTGCAATATGTTACCGAACAAGATATATTCGATAAGATATAACATAAAAAAAGATAATATATAACATTTTTGCGGAGTCTCCTATTCAATTTTCAGAACTGGCGTTCCAGATCTGAAAATGATGACAATGTCAGTGGTTACAAGCGTGTCCACACTCTTTCAAGGACAAAAATGAGATATTCACACCTCCATTGCAAAGATATCTACAAACTACTATTTGGGGATGTAATGCAATATGTTTTTTGAACGTGGGACTGATGAATGAATTATAATTTATTTTTAATTGGAATACCCTTTATTTTCCACATATTTCGATTTTTCCTTACCTTGCCTATACAACCCTGTCTTATTTTTGTTTCATTATGATTAGTATTATTATTATTATTATTATTATTTCCATCTGAATAACCTGTCCACCATCAACCGGCTTCAGGGCCTCCCTGGAACCTGTAATATCTCATCAATACCTACTTGAGATATTTTTCAATATTATCTATACAATGAGGGCTAACATTTCCATACTCACCAGTTGACGCTACTGAAATATGAGGTCAATGTCAAAGTCAAAAATCCCAAAATTTTGCCGGATATCCCTGAAAGATGTGGCCTGTTTTATCGAAAATATTCGAAAAAATTGATGTAGAATATTTGAACAAATAGAAAACCTCAAGTTATCGAAAGACTTGAGCCATCTTACGCTGTTTTACTCTCAATGCGGAACTTTACGATCAAATCTTACATTGACGAAGAAGAAGAAATCATAACAAAAGGTCAAATGAAACGAAAATAAGAAGTATATTTACCAGTTCTACCAACCCTGACCTCATGTTTCGGTGGCGCGGTTTGATGGACAATAAGTATGAGTATTAAGTATTCCGGTATTGCTGGTTATTCCACGAAAACTTGTTGCAATAGTAACAATGAATAACTCTAAACTATCTATATTCGAATTACTTATTTCAGGAAGTTGTATGAGTCCTGCTGTTGGCGATCAACTTGTGATACCTTCAGGTTTACCTAGAAGTTTAGAAGCAGCTATCACCAGATATGGAAACGCAACATACAAAGCACCTGTAGCGACTGTTCTAGATCCTAATGGAAAACTGTCTATTACATTAACATATGGTAAGATTTCTCGATTATTCAAAAATTTCAATAACTATAGGAATGAATACGAAAACAGTTTTGTCTTTTGGGCTTGACTTAGTCCAGAGCGAGGTGATGTGGGCGCACACTGGGACATTATTTTATTGTTGAATCCTGAACTATTCATGAAAGGCGCTCCAGGACTCAAGGGTAACACTAACAGTGGAATACACCCAACACATCAGAGTGTCATTCCTAAACACATCCCAGTGTGAATTGGTTCGCCAATGGCAAGTGTGCACGGTTTTGCCAGTACTACTAAAGTATACCTCGTCGACAAAGAGGTCCGGTCGGTATTCCTTGTCATTCTCATATTTGTGGCAAAACATATAACTACTACCATGATGCCATAGGGAAGCATCTCTGTGCGTACAGATATGCCGACTGGATTTTTGTTGGGTCAGTTTCGCTTAGTTGGCGGTCTTAGAACTGCTGCTTGGTGACTACCCCTACACTGATGAGGGCCAAAAGCCCGAAACCGGTCTGTAGGTGTCGAGCGTCAATATGGCTACAATCTAAAAACAATTGGCATCAAGGAAAGAAACCTTTGCATTATCTAGTATTCGCTTATAGCTTATACGAATCGATGCATAGATTTCGGAAGGATGTTATTAAATTTTATGAGTAGCATTAGCCAGGAAAGTAGTTGTTGTTTTTCTCTTTTTTTCAACATTTGTGGAAATGACTTTGAGCTTATTTTTTTCTTTTCATGTACCAGCTTTATTAATGAAATGATGCATCTCTTTTTTGGATAATGAATCTATGAGGACCCAAATTTCAAAAAAATCTTGATGAGTGTGAAAAGAAGTCTCCTAAATTTTTTTTTGCAACCAACTCAAAAGTCGTCCATTTTAATTCCAAAATTCGCTCTTAAAGTTGATGTTTTTATTACTGACACAGAAATAGGTATGTTGCTAGACAACACTTTCAGTTTCAAGAAGCTAAGGTAGAACTTCAACTAGGTCATCAAGAATGAACAACATAGGTTAGGAGGGGTGAAAGAACTAACAGTCACAACTCCACCACATGAAAATTTTTAATAATGACCAACGGTCATGGACATAAGTAAGGACATGTTTCGAAGGATTAATCCTTCATCATCAGCAAATGGGTCAAAAAGAAAATCTGTAAGAAGAAACACATTTGCTGATGATGAAGGATTAATCCTTCGAAACATGTCCTTACTTATGTCCATGACCGTTGGTCATTATTAAAAAAATTTATGTGGTGGAACTGTGACTGTAAGTTCTTTCACCCCTCCTGATTTATATCACCTCCACTGTAAGTTATGGATCACCTACGTTGGTAACATAGGTTATTATTCATTTTATTCAAGAAGAAACTCAAACACAATTAGTCAATTTTTAGATATTTATATTGGAACTACAATTCGAACATCCTTGGAAATTTAATTAACCTGATCTGTAAATGAATCCACATTATTTTTCTCAATTGATCACTTCCAAGAAAAAAAGAAAAAGTTGGTGGATTTCGGAATTCGAACCCACAAGCTTTGGCATAACAGGACGGCACGCTACCCACTGGCCCTCATGTTTCGTACGAAGTTATGTATAAATCATTTATACAGGTAGAATAATCCTCACCACACAATTTTTTTCGACAATTTATTACAATTACAATTATAACAATTACAGTTACACGGATTATTTGTTTTGTTGCATCGCATCCTAATTTATGGCACGGCATCAACGTTTCGGGGGTAGTATTGAATTCATGCCTGTAGTCTCTGTCGACATGCATGTCAATACAGATTGTAAAAAGTAAAGTAGTCTGAGGCCTTGTTTCTATCTACTTACCCATATTATTATAATAATCTGTCAGGTGAGCCACATTGGTGGTTTACTACACTTATTTTTGGATGTATGATCAATTGATATTCGTCATACAGGACGTAGAAAGAAATTCTGAATTGAGAAAACCTGATCACGAATCTGCGATTGAGGTCAATAGAAATAACAAGTTTCCATCGTTCAAGTTTGAAGCCCTTGATTGGGTTGAAGTATTGAAAAGGAATATTCTCAAATATAATTAGGAACATAAAAAAATTTATATGTATATATATATATACATAAAGAAATACAGTGAGAATTTACATTCTCTATGTGATGAGAATATAAATTCTTTTTCGGTTTATTCAACAAAACACAACTACTTTATTCCTGGCTATCTGTCATGACGAACATTGAATTACATCTATTGAACACACACTATAAGAATTTGAAAACAAAATCTTCTGAAGTATAGAATTTGCATTCTCTTTCATATAAAGATGTGCAAATACTATCATTCTGAATATTCAACAGGAAACATCTACTTTCTTGGCTATTTGCCACGTGGAACATTGAATTATATCTGTTGAACATCCAAAAAGAGAGTATGAAAAATGAAAATCCTCATAAATTGAGAATTGACATCTCTCAAATCGGATAAAATAATATGATGTATTAAGGTATAAAAATTTAACTTACCAATATGTTCAGTATTGAAATGAAAATTGAAATGTATATGAGAAGTATACTTGTATAAACTCTGATCTTGATGAGCTTGGAACTTTCAAAAAATCATTGGTATTAGTGATATGGGAATTATATCTCTCACAAACAGGTTATTTGAAAATTGTGTATATCATGAAGAATGGCTGAAAGAATAACTGGACTTCAGGTTACTGACAGGATTTGATATCCGAAATAAGTTTATTGGAGTGAAGTCATATAACCTGTTTGTGAGAGATATAATTTCCATATCACTGATATGAATGATCTCCAAGCTCATCAAGATCAGAGTTTATACAAGTATACTTCTCATATACATTTCAGTTTTCATTTCAATACTGAACATATTGGAAAGTACTATATTTTTATATCATAATTCATCATATTATTCTATTCGATTCGAGAGATAATGTCAATTCTCAATTTCAGATGATTTTGATTTTTCATGCTCTCTTCTTGGATATTCAACAGATATAATTCATTGTTCGACGTTGCAAATAGTCAGGAGTGTAGTTGTTTTCTGTTGAATATTCAGATTGATATTATGTGCATATCTTTATATGAAGGAGAATGCAAATTCTCTACTTCAGAAGATTTTGTTTTTGAATTCTTATCGTGTGTGTTCAATAGGTGTAATTCTATGTTCGCCGTGGCATATAGCCAAGAAAGTAGTTGTTTTTTATTGAATAAAACGAAAAAGAATTAATATATTCATCACAAAGAGAATGCGAATTCTCAATGTTCTTTATATGTACATCCATTTTTTTATATTCATAATTATATCTGAGAATATTCGTATTCAATACTTCACTTATATTCATTTTAATTGGGTGTTGCAGAAAAAATAGCGGGTTTCATTCAAAACTGACTTTGTTTGGTCGCAAATTTCGTGTCACTTTTGATCCTAATAAAACAATCGACTATGTCTTCCGTTTCAGGTAAACTCCTCAGTCGCTCGCACAAGATAGCGTACGCCCTCCTGACGAAATCGTTCGGCAAGAACGTGGACACCAGCCTGAAGAGCGGCGATCGCGTCGCTCTCGTCTACCCCAACAACGACCCCATCAACTTCCTGTGCGCCCTCTACGGATGTCTGCAGGCGGGCGTCGTGCCAGTGCCTATTGAGGTATACTCACTTTTAAAATTTTGGTGTGAAAATTTATTACCGAATACTTGTCTAGCCTCAATTAAAAATCGGAAATTCTTTCTCGAACACGAATATCTAGAAAAGTCGTGTTCTTGAAATAATAATTGATAACTCTTGTGGTATTATAAGTGTAAATTTCACACCCAATATTTCCGACCAATTAAAAGCCTGTATTTTATATATTCACCATAGAAATGTTGTTCTATTTTTCTGACAGTGAGTGCTAAAAAAACCTGGGTGGGATTATGCGATATCAGTTTTTGAAAGTTTTTTCAAGTTGTTGATGTAGGTCCTAAATTATTGTTGACAAAAATCAAAAAAATCCATACTTTTTCAAAACACTTGTATCTTTTCTTAAAAAGAAGATATTGACGAGCATTCAAAACTATTGTGTTGAGAAGAGATCACACTCCAATCCAAAAGATAATGAAGCTGAGTTCAACCACTCATTTTTGCCACAGGGCTTTAAGAAGTTAATGGTGAAGGAGTAAATTTCGTCTCTCCCTGTATTATGATCAAGCCATTGGGTTTCTTGAGAACCAGAATGCAGGCTAATATTCTGGAACATGAATCTACGATTTGATAGAAACTTCAGCAAAATCGGACAAGAATGAAAAAAGTTACAGGGCGATCAATTTAGGTAAATTTTTTGTGGCCCTTTAGCGGATTATTGCCTTCTGAAAGCAAGCCGGAGGTTTTTGAAATTATTTTCGAAACCCTTTGTGATGAAATAGCTACATTTCTTATATATAAACTTTTTACGCCTAATTCAAAAATGTTCGGAAAATTTCGTAACTTTGATCATATTTTGATCAAACTACCAATGGGGAGGCGAAATACAAAATCGCAAACACAGCAAAAACGAAAACATTATGATTTCAATTATCAACACAGATATTTCCACCAATCAAGAACGTGTATTTTGAAATGAGTGGAATAATCCCCTATAATACCTACCACAACAGCTTCAATTATTTCCGGTTTTCAATTGTAGCTCGAGTTGTATTCAGTAAGAAATTGTCACACCGTAATATTATCGAAAAAAAATACTAGTTTGAGATTACGCTGAATAAAATACAAAATACCGACTTTAGTTGAGCAAAATATTCATGAGGCAGCTCGTGGTAGTTCAAATCATTATTTTTGAGTAACTTTACTCCACTAAAATTGGTGGAAACATATTTTGTTACAAGGAAGCAGTATGTATAGTAAACTACACTGTTTTACCACTAACAAAAGCGATTTTTTAAACGCCTCGACACATCTTTTTTTCACAGTAAGGAAAAGACTATCAGTTTTTATGGAGACCCCCTTCGTTTCAATCATCTTTTTAATTAGGCGAACTGGGCATAAACTCGTATTTTCATAGTTTGGTATCAACCATTTGCAATCTGTACAATTTTGGGCCCCACCTTGTCATGTTTTTGAGAAAATTGGATTGTATTCAACTCTTTCAGTAGAATTTCCTTCATTATCAGTTTCCCACTTGAAGTATGTTATATTACAATTTGCTGCTTCATTTCCCCTCCGCGCTAATTCGACCGCACATATATGGAATACCTAAAATTATTAATTATTTTAGATAAAGAATAAGAAACTACACTATACGGTCTGACTTTGTATCCAATTCAAACAAAATAAATTGACCATGTGTGACATGAAATATTTTTATAAAAAGCTATTGTCTACAAGGAGCTCAAACCAACGACCTCTGTATCTTCTACCCTAATACTTGCGCTACTTCACCAGATAATATAAACAGTCACAATAGTTAAAGTGATTGAAGAAGATTACTTCGGAAATTAATTTTAATTTTCGAATTGTCAGACCGTCTACAAAAATGCAAACTTTTTAAATTATTAAGTATATTATAGGTAGGTACCTTTCTTTGTAATCCGTCGGGATTATCTTCATCCCATGCACAGTCCATGGATTGGATTCTTCTATTTTCAGAGCTTTAGCACTTTGTTTTCTTTTAATCAGATTTAGCGTCTCGCGCATTTCTTGCTTTGAGAAAGTCCATATCGGAAAATGGGTTGAATGAAATATTGAATTCGTTGTGGTACTTCTCTTGAACTAATTTTGCGGTGGTGTTCCACACAGTCTTAACACAACTTTCCATGTAATCTTCGCCATCTTTTCTTCTCATATTCAGTCCCTCGCCCAGTCTTCCAAAATTGAACTGATTTGGCTGACTGGGGTAGTTGAGACAAACTCATAGTTTCTCAACTTACTAAAGAGTCCATAAACTGGTTCCATATTGATGTGCGTGTTTTGATTTTATTCTGCGGTGTTAGAATGGTGATATTTTCTCTAATCTCTTTTAGAGAATCATTCCCGAACCGTTTTTCTTTATTCATCATATACCAAAATAGTATAAAAAATAGGTATAGGTATACCTTATGTATTTTATCACATGAAACGTCCAGCCAACATAAAATGTTCTCGCCTTTCACACAAAATGTCTGTCTCACTAACGCGAATTATAAAGTAATAAAATAAAGTAGGTAAGTTATTGTCTCTGATTTGAATCCAAAGCAATCTTGACTAAACTCGATGTCAAAATTTTATCGCTGATAAACGTGGTTTGTTGGTCACGTGTGAGTCAATTTGGCTTCTGTATTGGTAGAGCAAGTCCGATAAAATTCAGTAAACAAAAAATATCGCTAGAATACAGAAGAAACCCCGAAAATGGTCGATTCTGATTGGTTCTCGAGAACGAGAGTGGAATAGTCAACAGAAAACAACAACTTTTCTGGCTGAAAAAAAATATATTTTTCTGCAACTGACACAAAAGTCATCCATTTTGATACCAAAATTAGCTCTTAAATCTCTTCTCTTCTATTACTGACACAAAAATAGGTATGTTGCTAGGCAACATATTTAGTTCCTAGGAGCTAAAGTTGAACTTTAGCTCCTAGGAACTAAAAAGGATCTACTGGACGTCATCAAGAATCAACAACATTGTGATGGTTGGTTATTTGGGTTGAGACGCATACCTGATTTGTTTCCGATTTCAGCAGATTTGGCATTTCATACCCATGCTAGAGATATAAATACACCATATCATACTTTTGTATTGGAATTAAAAACATCTCAGCTAAGTATTTTTGTTTTGATCAGGGAAGCCTTCAAGATTCAAATACTTGCTTGATCTGTATTTCATTCCTCATTCTCGGGATATATAACTTGTGTTTGAATAATCAGGGCAAGCAATAGTTTTTTTGTCTCAAACAACGATATTGTTTAGCTTCATTTGATTATCGCAAGTCGAACACAGTGTAGTATGGAGAGGAATAAATAATCACTATTATCATTGTTGATATGCTCACTAACCTAACATTTTCCACGTCTTGTTCCTATACCTGGCACTTGCGCGGTATTTGCCATTAGAGCACCTGGTCTATACACAAATATGTCACTCGGTGGTTGTATTTATATTGAAACTACAATTCGAACATCCTAAAAAACCTAAACTGCTCTTAATGCAGGTAAAATATTCTCACCACATAGATTATTTGTCAATATTTGTTGCATTGCATACATGTGGCACGGCATTGATGGTTACTTCACATGTTTATTTGAGTTAATTGTTTCGGTTGCAGAAAAAATAGCATGTTTCATTCGGATCAAAAGTGACTTTGTTCGACTTGCAAATTTTGCTTTCGCTCGCTTCGCTTGTCAAACAAAGTGTCACTTTTGATCCTAATAAAGCAATCTACTATTATTTCATATGTAATTTCGGCTAATCGACTTCCGAACACAGGTGCCGATCACCCGACGGGACGCCGGCTCGCTGCAGATCGGCTTCCTGCTGGGCAGCTGCGCCGTGCAGGTGGCGCTGACGTCGGAGGCGTGCCTGAAGGGGCTGCCCAAGACGCCGTCCGGGGAGGTGGCGCAGTTCAAGGGCTGGCCGAAGCTGACGTGGTTCGTGACCGAGCACCTGGCCAGGACGCCGAAGGACTGGTCGCCGACGCCCAGGTGAGCTCTCCTGCTTCAGAACAGTCTTCTCTATATAATAATAATAATAATAATAAATGATTTCATTGAGTCAGCATAAATGTACAACAGGTATTATTATACATATATGTTTCTCAAACGGCAGAGTTCAGTTCCACGATTAGATCGCAAATTGCTCTTCCACTCAACCGTTATAAGGAGTTCATCCATTGATATGAATGAGCTCCTTCCTCCAAATATTTATACAGGGTGTCCGGAGATAAAACCGACAAGCCTTATGGGGTTATAGGGACTGTCAATGTGATTGCAAAATGCCATAAACCAATGTCCAAAACCGCTTCGTTATTGACATACAGAGTGATTTGTGGATTTCGACAAAAAATTCAATCCGGCATATCAAATACAGGGATTAACCGATTAGATTCAAATTTGGTACACGAATTACACTGAGAAGCATCAACAAGTAGCCCTTTGATCGAAACCAATATCAGGACCGGAATAATATGTTTCTCCTATGTTGAGTTATTGTTAGAATAACTCACCCTGTATAATAATAACCCAAAATTTCAACTCAGATTCGAAATCTACGGTAAAAATTGTATAGGTATTTGTTGAAAAATCTCCTGGCACTATCTTAGTTATTTCTTAATTGATTATCATTTTAATTTTTTTCATTCAAAAATCAATTATTGCCGGATAAAGTACCATCAAAATTGGTAATAAAATAAATATTAACGAAACCATGACATGAATATTGTTATTTCCTTCAATCAGTTCGTGAATCGTAGTAAAATAAATTACTCTCATGGCCCGAAAAAACTGTAAAATAAATTCGTATCAGGACTGGAATGAGGTTTTCTATGATTATATTCCTGTAAGAATAGATGATCTAGTATAACAATCATCTGATCGCAGATTCGAAATGCACTGAGAAAAGTTAAAAAACTTGTTGAAAAATGATCGGACTGAACTTTCAAATAATAAATCCGTATCAGTACCTTAAAATGTTTGTGTATAGAGAATACTAGGCTTGTGTCAAATTCAGAATTTCATTATGGAAAACCATTGTTTATCTGTCATCAGCATTTGTTTTATTGGTGTTCATTCATTATTCCATTGTTTTTAGGTTCAAACTATAGTTCTGAAAGAGTGTTTAAGGTGCCGTTTCATCTCACTAATGAGGAATACGCAGATATTCTATTTTTGTATGGGCTTCATCTGGTGATGTTCACCTAAATTTTTATTGCAAGGTGTAAATACCTGGAGTATGTGGTTTCAGCATGATGGTGCTAGACCTCACTTTTCAGTTCCAGTTAGAAACCATCTCGATGCCAATTTCCCCAATAGATGGATTGGCCGTGAAGGTTCAGTAAATTGGCCACCGCTATCACCTGATCTAACTCAGCTAGATTCTTTTTTATGAGTTCATTTAAAGTAAGAAGTTCATAATGAAGAAATTTGAATTAGAGAAAATGTATTATGGAAAATTAGTGCTGCCTGTGTTAGTGTTAGAAATAACCCTCAAATAATTCGCAAGTCAGTGAATCCTCTAATAGCACGATCTCAAAAATGTATTGATGATGCCGGAGGGCTCCACTTTGAAAATGTTTTGTAATACTGGGTAGTGAAAGTTTTTTACGAATTCATTGGTTTTGTTATGTTCATTACAAACAGTTATTGTTCTTTGTGTAGTATTTTCATAAATTCGAATTCATTAGTGAGCGAATATAATTTACGACAACTTCACTCTTATCCTTTTTTAACAGGTTCTTATACGATTTTTTTAGATTCCGAATCTACGATCAGATCATTGATAACTATTGATGTACTAGGTCAGTTAACAAACAAAAAAGTCATTCCAGTCCTTATATGAATTTATTCTTCAGTTTCTTCGGGTAATGAGAATATTTCATTTTACTCCGATTTATGAACTGATTGAAGAAAATAACGATATTCATGTCATGGTTTCGTAATTTTTTATTATATTAACAATTTTGGTGGTACTGTATCCGAAAATAGTTGATTTTTAATGAAAAAAATTAAAATAATGATTAATTACGGAATAACTAAGATAGTGCCAGGAGATTTCCCAACAAATTCCTATACAATTTTCACCGTAGATTTCGAATCTGAGTTGAAATTTTTGGTAATTATTATACAGGGTGAGATATTTTAACAATAACTCAACATAAGGGGAAAATATTATTCCGGTCCTGATATTGGTTTCGATAAAAAGGCCACTTGTTGATACTTTTCAGTGTAATTCGTGTACCAAATTTCAATCTAATCGGTTATTCCCTGTATTTGATATGACGGATTGAATTTTTTGTCAAAATCCACAAATCACTCTGTATCTCAGTAACGAAGCGGTTTTGGACATTCGTTTATGGCATTTTGCAATCATATTGACAGTCCCTATAACCCCATGAGTTTTGTCGGTTTTATCTTCGGACCCTGTATACATTTTCCTAAATAGTTATGATATGATTCTATATATACATAATATTTACACAAACCTTCATACAAGTTCTATTTTTCCAAATTGAAGTGGGGGTTTTCAAACAAATACTTTTTCATTTGTTTCTTGAAGTTTGGAAGGGCTACAGCTATTGAATTCGAATGGAATGTCATTGAGAATTTGGGTGATTTGAAAAGAGAAAGAAGATCTGAACTGCACAGTTTTATGGATAGGTAGTGTTAACGAAGCTTTATATCGACGATTCAGATTATGAACATCTGTCCTAAATTTAATTTTTTTGTGAAGGTATTTTGGTTTCTGTGAGACTTTCTTAAAAAATAATGAGGAATGTAGAAGCCTTCTATTCTTCATGCTGAGCCATTCGATATCCCTTAGATTATCCGAAACAGGATCGCGTCTGTTCAAGCCACATATGAATCGGACGCATGAATTTTGCAATTTCTGAATACGAAAGCTATCAGTACTAATATGTATGTTCATATATGATGAAAGGAATATTGAGGAGAATGTTGTGAACAACTAATAAGGAAATAGTGGACAAAGCCCTCATAAAAAATTAACCGTAGACACGTGTTTCGGGCTTTTTTGGCCCTCATCAGTATGAAACCACAATTATGCGGCAGGCTTCTGTTTGTTGACTCCGTTATTTCGTTGTTTCGTCTTCCACCAAGTGTTGCTTATCTTCCGTTATTTTTTTTTCCGTACTGATGAGGGTCAAAACCCCGAAACACGTGTCTACGGTTAATTCTTTATGAGGATTTTGTTCACGATTTCCTTATTTGTGTGTTCAGATCCACATCTTTTTCAATTGTAATTCAGAATGCGTCAATTGTAATTCAGATTTGTCAAATGAAATTCAGAAAGTGTCAATTGTAATGCAGATTAGCCAATTGAAATTCGGAAGATATCAATTGCAATTCAGAAAAGTCAAGTGAAATTCAGGCAACTTCAAATTGTGAATCAGATTTTTTAATTGAAATTTAGAAAGCGTCAATTGAAATTCGGATATCGTCATTTGTAATTCAGAATGCAACAATTGTAATTCGGACTACGGTTTTTTGTTATTCAGATAAGTAACTAAAGATTAAAAAAATATATCATTTCATCAGAAACACTAATCAACAACCTCTTTTTAAATTTTCAACCTATTAGTTATCGTTCTAAAGTGAACCAAAAAACGTTAGGAGAGAAATGAGGCAATAGGCCAAACAACTTGTTTTGGCGAGATATGTACTCTGTTAAATAAAAAACATCACATTCAGATTCACCATCTATAACGTTGATGCTCACTTACTTATACAGGGTGAATCATAATTATTGGGACATAGGCTAAGGGCGGATTGTTTGGACCAAAATATGGCGATTGGACCAAACATGCCTTGATAAAATATTGCTGTGAAAAGAGATACAGGGCGTTAAAGTTGATTTTTTTCGTTTTTTGTCGGTTTTTTGCTAATAATTTCACTGTATATGAAATATATTTGAAAAAGTTTTGTGATTTGGTTGCTTTCTGTCTAAATATTACAGATATTACAATTCATACCTTCTGGTTGCATCCCGCATTTATTCATTCATAAAATTCTTGTGATGAGGCATTTCAATCGAAAAAATTTTGACAATAAACTCGCACCAAAATTCATTCTCTGACATGAAATGCCATTACCAGCAACATTATCTGACAATTCAAAGCACACTCTTCATGAATATCTGCATTATATAAAAAGACATTGAAAGTACTGTATCGTTTACCATATGATACACCAACAAATCAATTATATAAAATAACTGAATCATTCTCATTAGAAGAAATGTTCAAAATCGAAAGACTGAAAATTACATACAATATCATAAATAAAAGATTGAAATCTAATTTTATTTTAACACGAAACAATGAAATTCATAATTATCAAACTAGACAACATGGTTTATTTCATCTTGATATCGCTAATACTTCTATAGGCCAAAAAAGATTCACCCACGCTGCTCTCTTGGAATATAACAAATTACCAGATAATATAAAAAATTGCAGAAATACAATAAAATTCAAATACCATCTTAAAAAATTTATCATTTCTGAACGAAATAGATGACTTACTTTTGATTCATATTCAAATTGATTTTTGCTCAGCAATATGAAATGATTTGTCAAAATTTAATAATTAATGTTTTCAAATATTTTATTATTCATCAGTTTATTATAATTGTATAGTTTAAGGTATTATTGTTAACTATACTTCCTTATACCAGAACTTGATTCTGACTGGAAGTAACATTTTCAATAAATAAATAAATAAATAAATTAACTTCTGAGACTCTGAACTGTTCAATAGCGTTTTTCTCGAAAACGGATGATAATATCGTGTTCAAACAAGAGTACCAATATTACGTAGAAATGATGTTTAGGTCATATTTTTCAATCAAAATCACTCAAAAGTTTCGTCAAAAAAAGTAACCAGGCGATTTCATCATCAGGAATCATTCACGTGGCGCCCCCTGTATCAAAATGTAGAATAGTACATAAAATTATATTCCCTGTATGTAATTATGCCTCTGTGCCAATTTTGATAACAATTGATGAATATACAGTGAAGTTATTGGTAAAAAACGAAAATAAAAAGTCAACTTCAACGTCCTGTATCTTTTTCCACAGCAATATTCTATGAAGGCATATTTAGGCCTATCGCCATATTTTGGTTCAAACAATCCGCCCTTAGCCTATGTCCCAATAGTTGTGACTCACCCTGTATAATATCACCACGCTAGATTATTTTCTCTAGGCTTACGTGAACTTGAAAACAATTATTACTCGTGTTATTAGCGCGGTCAATTTTACTGACCTAATATCCAAAAGCCGAATGGTATGGATGGTATTTTCGGTTCATAATGAAACCAGTTCGAAGTCTATTTTAATTTCGATATATTTCCTAGAACCCCATGCATGAATCACTCCTTATATAATATTCGCCTTCCAGACTATCCGATGAAACGCCCGCCTACATCGAATACAGCACCGACCGAGACGGCTCCGTGATGGGCGTCACCATCACCCGGCACGCCATGCTGCAGCACTGTCGCACCCTCACGGCAGCCTGCAACTACACCGAAGGCGAGACGATGGTGAGCAAGGCTATTCAACTCTATAAGGTTGCCTCATATTGACCTGGCCTGACGTCACTGTTTCCCCATCGTCTTTTGTCGAACGGCAAAATGAAAATGGCGGAGGTGAAAAACAAAACAAACAAATTTAGCATTGTGCAATCAAGTGAATATTGATAAATTTTGAAGTTTTCCAATATGTTTTTGTGTCCAAGAGATTGTTCACTGTTTTCCCAAAACATGCAGCAAGTACAAAAGACTGAAGACAGAAATCTAGAAAGATATGTTCCTCAGTGCTCCTGTTGTGCAGACACATTACAGAAACTCAGTCAAATTCTTATTGCAATATCACTCCATTAGGACTGATTACTGTTGGCATTAATAAGGATATGGAGGTTGAACTACTGATAAAGCATTTTTTAATAAAGAAAATGTTATTGGGAAGTCTGAACCTAATGATGAAATCATGGTGGATAAGGGCATGCTGACAAGGGATGTGAAGAAATATCTTGAAATTGATTAGGCCATCATTTCTGAGATACAAGAAACAATTAACTAAAGAGGATTTCTTTCTGGATAAATTGAATGATTCTAACTCACTGGTTTTATTTCAGTATCAATTTGGAACATATTGTTTGAAAATGCAATAATAAGAAAATGAATTAATAAAGAAGTCATCACAATTCATTCCATTTTATTAATGCAATAAAAGTGCAACATAATGGAAATATCTTTGAGATATCTTCCTCATAACATTAACACAAAATGTATCACAAAAAAACTGGAATCTTTATGTAAGTTTTGGAGGAAGAAGAATCATACAAGAAAATTAGTTTCATTCAAGTTCATTAGGGACATTTTAGGGCCATTATTCCCAACTGAATTTATCCATAATAAGTGTGTCTCTCTTCCAACTTCACATTTTTTATACCATCTCCTATCAAGAAATGGCATTGTTCCACAAAATGTTCTGAACCTTTACCTAAAATTTTGAGAAAATAATTCAAGCTGAATGTAATACACATTATTTAACAAACCTCTATGTAAGGACCTCAGTAAGGACACTTATTTCAATTATTTCCATGGTCTTCCTTCCTGAAAAATAATTTCATATTGAGAAAATCCTAACCATGGAAAATATTGGGACACAAATTTGTTTGCATGATTTGAAATTCAATATAATTTTCAATGAACATTTTGAAAGAGCTTTGGATTCATATTCAACTCCATGCTGAACAAATTTATTTGAAAAATCCTTTGGAAAGAAGAAGTTGATTGCCTTTTTTCCCAAGACTCCTTGCTACATGTAAAAATGAAGTAGCAAGTATAAGTAAAATTTAATAACTCACCAGTGTTCCTGAGTACCATGCAATAGCTAGTTGTTTACATTGAGTTCATTGGCTTCCAAACAAAAAACAAAATAGACTGATAAAATTAACTTCAATTATATAAAGGGAGAATGATTTTAGGGTGTCACTTTCCTTCTTTTAATAAGCGGGTAGCAGAACTATTGAAATGGTTTGGCTGTATAATAGATCATTGATTGATCTACTCTCTTTTTTCAATTTTCACCACTTCTGTTTCTTATATAATGCAGCTTCACATATTCCAAGTCTTCATTCCTGAAATTTCATGTATTTTTTACCTGTGTGTGTGATAGATCAAAAGTGCACCTTCCTACCTGTCAATATACCTATATAAGTCCCTATAAAATGTGTATACAAAACCGTAACATGCCTGCTTCACAGGGACATTCACATTGCCACAGCTCATCATTTTCCTTTGGAATTATCTGAATCTCATGTGGAGGCTGCCAAACAGGCATTTCATAACATTTGTTTGTTCTATATCCACTCTTGACTCCACACAATAATATTATGATATTTATGATGGGACCAGCCTTGAATAATACTACACCATATTATTATACAACCTCTCACACTCTTTCAAAGATATCTTCAGTCTTCTTGTCACCCTGTTTTCAACTAAAGTCTAAAATTCGCGATTCTTTCGAATTCAAATTCAAAATTTTTTTCAATTCATTTGACAGTGACACAAACGAAATCTACAATCACGTAGTGGGGAAACACTGACGTCACGCCCCTCCGCGCACCCCCGCACCATAATGCTATACTATGAGGTAACCTTATAGACCTTGGATGGTGAGTACGAAGGCGTAGACAAAGTGAAATGTGAAATTTCCTGATTCTAAGCCTCTTCTTCTTGTTATATCAAGCACACATTCCGAATCGGCACGACAGTTACAACACTGTCTAAACAGACAGTTAAAATAACTGTTCCCAGCAAACAGGATGTAGCTGGCGATTCAATGGCCCATTGATTTGATCGATGACATACTGCTGGCACTATTTTTCGGTGATGAAAAAATACATGTTCATTGATGTTTCAATCATATACGTATGTTGCTCTTGCATTGTGCTGGTAAAATAGTGTACCTACACTATTTTCACGGTATTTGGGAATCAATGAGTATAATCCATTTTACAAAGATCCCTGGAACAGTACTGATTGAACGATGAATAGAGGATATGGGTTCCTCAATTTTATTAAGTCATCAATGAACAAAGGACCATCAGCATATCAGATGCATTTCATTGACAGCACTTTTACGACAATCAACAATTGATGTGTGTTCCCTAGGTCTTCCATTTTGTTTTTTCTATCCTTTTGCGCATGAGCCGTCATTTGTAATTGTAAGATGTGTAAATATGCCTTCATAGAATATTGCTGTGGAAAAAGATACAGGGCGTTGAAGTTGACTTTTTATTTTCGTTTTTTATCAATAACTTCACTGTATATTCATCAATTGTTATCAAAATTGGCACAGAAGCATTATTATTCAATTTTATCAAATCTAAATAACGAGTTTAGTTGTATTTAAAAAAAATTGTTCTAAAATTGTTCTATCCGTCATTCGGTTGCCCCCTTACGAGCAACCCTCAGAAGTCTTCGAAAGTCTTGTGCGAGCAAGGAATGACGGGGGCCTTACCTTTTAACGTGTGATCCCAAACACTTTCTTAGGCCATCAGAAAAAGTCTGCGTTCGTGGGACTCGAACCCACGATCGTTACCTCGACGTGAATCGATATTGAAGCATCGAAGCACTGAGGTACGCCTGTATATAAACTGATATTCTTCTTCGAGAACATCCATCGTGATGTGTTATATAGTACCTCTACCATGAAGTTCCAGTCCTAAAAGGAATCTACTTCTATCTCAGACTTGAGTCCTTGTTTCTACCTGACTATTGTTGCGGCAGGCTAGGAAATATATAGTTATGATTTATAGCTTACTTGGAATTCACAAATAGTTCATTCCAGATACAAAATAAGAGAAGTTCTCAAGTTTTGGCCATGTTCCAGGTATTTCAGAAATTACAATTTCCATCAAGAGAAACATATTTCGTGAACTCTTCGCTGATTGAGCAGATCAGATGTGGATATATAATTGGATACGCCAGTTTTGTTGTACTGATTATTATTCTTCTTCCTTGTTTCTTTCTTCCTTGTTTCTTTAACATCGGCCTTTTTCTGCTACTGAGGCTAATCACCGACGACGGTGAGCACACTACCCCCAACCGGAAATTTCTGCCGAATCCTCTGGTGTTCCAACCAGAGGTAGGGATCTTCAACTAATCCAACATCCATGGCCTCGGGACCGCCGGCTCAACGTCCTCTCAGAAGGACGGCATATCCGTACCATATCTTGTGCTCATTGATATGGTAGCTGTAGCTATGATATACTATTCCGCTACAGATGTACGGGCTTACGCGTTGCCTCCACTGTTTCACTTCAGATATCGAACGGCTAGTGCCTTACCTGAGAAGCTAGGGCGATGCCCGATTATTATTATTATCAGTATTATAATATTTTCTATACGTAGCCTCAAAATTCTTTGTGTAAGGATGAACCACTTAATTTTCATCGGGAATGCACTGGAAAAACTTCAGTCAGTCATCACTGGGCCAACAATGAACAAGCAATAAATGGAAGTACTGCTTCGTCAATATTGGTGTTATGTCGGCCAGTGGGCAACTTCCGTGATTTACTATTGAGAAATGCCAATATTGAGCCAATGATAGTTCTCTGGGGTGACATTGCTGTAAAAGTGATCGCCCATGTATTGATATTTGCTGAGTATAATTGTCTAAGGTAACTACCTATGTATTATACAGACTCTGTAACAGAGACATACTCACAGATTCACCACGTGAAGCGATCTGCCTGAAAGAAAATTCGATAAGAGATGACATAGCTGAGGTGGTAAGCGGTATGATGGTAGTTTGTGGAGGAGTCCTTCGTGCCAAACACGGTCGAATGCTTTCGATATGTCCAACGCGACAGCTAGAGATTCCCCGTGTTTTTCTAATGAAGCTTGCCATAAATGGGTGACGTAGGCAAGTATATCTCCAGTAGATCTTCGGTGGCGAAAGCCGTATTGTCTATCATTGACGATTCCTGAGCTCTCCAGATATTTGATAAGCTCAATATCAATGGCTTTCTACATCACTGTGGTGATTACTGATAACAGGGCAATGGGCCTGTAGTTGTTGGGCAGGTTTTTGTTCCCTTTTTTGGGGATTGGTTGGACTCTAGCTGTCTTCCAGCATGATGGAAAAATACCCGATCTGTACGAGACGGTAAACAACTTGCAGAGAATCGGTGTCAATTCTGGTGCACATTTTTCGAGGATAATGGGTGGAATTCCATCAGGACCGTTAGCCGTTTCGAGACCAAGCAAAATTCGTCAGATAGTGCGTTGACGGAAGACGATTTCGGGCATTCGACTCTCAACGGGTGGAATGTCTGGCGGCACTTTTCCTTGGGAATCTGAAGTAGAGTTTGCTGTGAACATCTCTCAGATAAGGAAGACTTGAGGAGTGCTTGAGGAAACGACTATAAATACGGGCCTAAATAGACAGTTGTATGTGTCTATTCAACAAGAAAAACGTAACTTAAGCCTTCTACCTTTTTGCAGGTGTGCGTGCTAGACTTCAAGCGCGAAGTGGGCCTGTGGCACGCAGCCCTCACCAGCGTGCTCAACGGCATGCACGCAGTCTACATCCCGTACGCGCTCATGAAGGTCAACCCGGCCAGCTGGATGCAGATGATCACGAAGCACCGCGCGTGCGTGGCGGTGGTCAAGTCGAGGGACTTGCATTGGGGCCTGCTGGCCACTAAAGATCACAAGGTTAGTAGCACACTTTGATCTAAGAACCAGTAAGGTCTTTCCAATAAAACGTGAATGTCATTCGTGGCCGAGTCACTGAAAAGTCAGAAATATGAAGGGTGCCTCTCATGCAATAATAAATTGGTGCTTTCGAAGTGCGCAGCTTATGTTAGGTTAGATGCTCATTTTTTTCAACTCATCATTCAAATAATCCGAGATTCACATGTCCCCACAGACGGATTCTTATAATTAATTATCCAAGGTTCCGAAAAATAGTTTCATGTCTGGTAGTTGGATATTTTGCATCTCAGTGTTGAAATCATGATAAAATAGGCAAGATGGTGCGTGTTGCATGAAATAATGGTTGCGCAGCAAACAAAACGGAGTCGATACCCTTTTAAAAATGTGCTTTTCATACTTGTTCTTATTGTCTATGGAATGAATAATCTGTCGCAGTTCAATCATGTTTAACAGCTTGAGTCTGAACAACGAACAGTTAATAACTGAATAATTCTTTGGATGACCATATTGCTGCCAAGAGCAGCCTAGAACTAGACTCTCTCAGTACCTGTTTTTTTTATGCAAACATAAATTGTTTCGGACAATATTATTGGTTGTATTTCTATTCCACCTCTTTGAAAAAACCAATCTGTCTTTATATGCTGAAGCAAGCAATTGTACAAAATGTTTCCCTTTTTTATATTTTTATTAACAAGCAACCTGTCTTTTATTTATATTCCACCATAACAACATTAACCATATAATGCGTGTTACAAATATAATGTTATTAAAACTATCTTCCTCAACAACAATCATTACTTCAATCCAATCAAAACTAACATTTCATACAAGTTTAAAGAGTGCAGGGTCTATAAACCTGATCGTTGATAATTTGAATGATGAACAATGAATAAATGTCTCAACTAGAGATCTCAATGCCTGACTCTTGTCTGAAAACTATCTTCTCTTTCTCTATTCAGTAATACCTATAAGATTTTGATTGAATAAACAACAACTTTTGGACTTATACTTTGCTCAAGTCTACTGAGATATGCTGATTGTTTGTTGGGTAATTTAGTTGCAGTGGTAGCATGAAGAAGCATACGATGTATGTTGAATTCGCCTAGGAAAGCATTCTATAGACCGGCTTTCAAAGAATGACCACATAATTATCATACTAGGCAGAAAAATAATCATTATGTTCCTATTGCAAAACTCGAAGTCAGAGAGAATACACAAACTTTTTCAGCACTGAAGCTTTTCAATTGGCTATCCTATTGACCTAGAATACGTGATTTTGACGGTTCCTTAGAGGGCACACAACCTATCTGATAGCTAACCTTTGATGAGCATATAGCCCTGCCCACATCCAAGATACAATTTCAGATTCACCAAACAAAATCATGAAATTCATTTGGGACACAATAACTCTGGTTCCAAGGCAAAGGCGGATCCAGAGGGGAGACGACAGGAGCGATCGCCCCCCCCCCTTAGAGCCAACTGAAGAAAAAATGTTGTGTCTTCCATCCTATTATTCTATATAAACTAGGCTGGATAAACACTGGAAATTTTGTCTGTCACGCCAAAGTCTACTAATCAGACAAGTCTTTCGTCAAGAAAGCAATAAAACTATATGTAATTTGCTGGCCTATTGTTCTCCAAGAACTATCGAGCGCGTGGTGACGCAGTAAGCTCTCTCAAGTCCACTCCTCACTCAAAGTGCAGCAATGATCATCTCAATTCTCTTTCTACCTGTTCTACTAGATTTTTCACGCCCTAAGCGTTACCTGCATAGAAATTTCTGATCATTAGTGAAATCCTTCCTGAAAAGAAACCTGCTTCAATAGTCATTCGCCATCCGCTTGAAAATTGTGTTTCGAAATATATTTCGAATAAAATCTTGAGTTTTGTAAAGTTGAAAAAGTTCAGTCAACAAAAAATGGTAAGTCTTGTAATTTTTGAATTTGTAAAAATCCCTGCGCATTTTCTGTCATTGGGGTAAATGGCTTTAATCCAAAAATCCATTGAATCACTGGGGGTTGACCGAGTTGCGTACGATCGAACCACATAGAAATCAGGTTTCATTTCATTCGTGAAAAGTATCAAGAAGGTGTTATGCAGATCCAACACATCAGTAGTGCGAATCAAGTCGCAGCGAAACCAATGCCTTCTACAATATTTGTGAAAAAGGAAAGAATGTTAGGAGTCATTAAAATCGAATTATAAAAACGTGTATTTTGGGAGGAAGTGTTGGAATCCACAAAATTACGTAGTCATAATATAATGTTTTTGTTTGGGTTACCTACTATGTAATAGAATAATATGTCAGAGTGTTGAGTTGAAATATACGTCAGCTTTATATAAAAGTATTTCTATATAATTTCTTAAATAATTGAAGACCGATCAGAAGGTTCTTAATATAGTTCACTGAATTTTATTCAGAAAGACTACTTGGTTAGATATATTTCAACACCAATAATGGAGTTATATGGGTTTGCTATCAATGAATTCAACTATTATTATTATTATTCCTAGGACGTGAACTTGGGCTCGCTGCGCATGCTGCTGGTGGCGGACGGCGCGAACCCGTGGTCGCTGAGCTCCTGCGACCAGTTCCTGTCGGTGTTCCAGGCGAAAGGGCTGCGCGCCGACGCGATCTGTCCGTGCGCCAGCTCCAGCGAGGTGCTGACGGTGTCCTGCAGGCGGCCGGGCAGGGGTGGCGTCAACGCCACGGGCAGGGGGGTGCTGTCCATGCAGGGCCTGAGCTACGGGGTGGTGCGCGTGGACCAGGAGAACAGTCTGACGTCGTTGACGTTGCAGGACTGCGGACAGGTTATGCCAGGTGAGTTTTTTTCCCCGTTTGTGCTGCCTATATTTTGCAGAAAAAACCTATCTCCACTCTCAGGAGTGAATAATGTGCAGGACAGGCTGAGATGGAATAGGAAGTTCAAACTTACTATTCCAAGCAGAGAAGAATGGAGAAGCAATACATTGGAGTTTCGCCCAGAAAGCTTACAGGCCTATTCAGTACCTCATAACGTTATCGTTACGTGTCGTTAGTGAAGGACATATCGTTAAATAACGATAATTTTTTTGAATCGGATTCACTACTGTTTTGACAGTCGGTGACGAACGACAAGCTGTCATCAGAACATCATTTATAGACGATAGCTATTCAGAGTATCGGTAGGATAACATGAACACAAAAACAATGAACGCATAATATCCTCACATCCATTGGTTTTTTGTTGGAGATGGATCCAGTCAGTCTCTTTGAATTTTCAGAAGGGTTTTAGAGGAGTCAAATATGAATATTTGTTGCTATTCACCGTTTATTTCGATTCAGACAAGTGAATAAAAATTTGAATAGACGCTTGAGGGACGCTAGTAAACCATTCGAAAGTCCTATGAACGGAACTTTCGGGAGGATTGTTGGTTACCCAGAGAGCAAAAGTTTGGGGGGTATTCTCTCATAATATGTTGCAGCATCCCTGAAGGCCAGTAGGAATACTAGTATATACAATCAGTTGTTGAAAATATAATCGAAAAGTACCTACTTTTGTTACAAAAAATCTATTAGATTTGGAATGGGGCCTTCGGGCTATCTGCCTCCACACTGCGACCTTTTCAGATCTATTGTGTCTGCCCTCAAAATCGATTAGAGTTCTTCGGCTAGCCCCGCCTTCTCTATGAGACTCCATAGGCTAGCTTTCAGATCTCCTGTGTATCTCTGGGCTCCTGGTTTTTCCTCACCCAGCGTAAGGAACCTTAGTCTTGACAAGCCCTCACAGTGGCAAAGTATGTGTACTGCTGTGTACCAAAAATCTATAGAATGAGACAAATCATGGGCTATGTCCAAGCAGATGTATCTATCAAATATCAGACATACTTGTAGACAATTACCTCACTGTACCAAATCTTCAAGATATTTTATATGTTTAAAATGGGTATGATTTCAAGTTACAAATCAGGTAGATTGAGAACTGAATTATTCAAAACTCTAGGTACTGTTCCCCATTGCTTTCCATCCCTCTTGGAGCCTCTGGAACTATTCAATTATATAGAACCAAACCACTCCAAGTTCCTTCCAGGATATTGGGGTTTGTGGGTTCATATTGATTTGATGGAAAGTATTTATTTCCCTGCAGTTCCTCCACGTATATTCAAATAATAACGAATCACATTCTGAATATTTTAGCACTCCAGTGACTGTAAGCAATCCTATTTCCCTTAGAAACATGATGTTTTCTTCAATTATTATAGTAGAAGGCTCGGTAGAAGATCTCCGATCTATATGATATACATAACGATTTGTCAATTTATGACAAATAATGTCACATTATACCATACTATCTATTCTGAAAATATATACTTCTTGTTAAATTTGACGTGTTATTAGATTCGGCATCTGAATGCGCAACTTTGTCTTAATTTGATAACTTCACAGGCTATATTCCGAATTCAACTGGTCAGTACTGTCAGTTGATCCACTGCCTCTGCTGAAAATATGTGTTCCGAAATATAAAATCAAAAATTCACTACTGTAATTCGGGACACGTTTTCATGGTTTTCATCAGTAGTAGTTTCTCGTTTATCTGAACTAGATGTTTAGCCTCCTACTTGTTATAAATTTTGGAAATTCAATATTAAACATGGAAGAGAAATCGATTCTTGTATATAATTCTTCGATTGTTGACGATGGCGATTCAAGCTAGAGTGATGAAGAATACTTGGACATTTTGTTGCCATACATTTTTCATGATGCACCAGATTGAGAATTGAGATTCATGAAAATCGCAATATGCCTTAATAATGATGAATTTTAGGAGACATTCCAGGTTTATTTAGTTTATTTAGCCAATGCTGCTCGTTTCCTTACCTGATCTACTACTTCATACTCCATATCCATGATATTGAGAATCACTCCATTATAACAATGGAAATGAATGTTACATTCCTTCCCCCTCTAAAATATGACAGTTCACTGAAGCCACACTACCTTTTGATACTCAGCAGTTCCAGCAGAATGTTGAGTCGAAATATTTGGAATGAATAGTATGTCTGCTGACAAGCATCTGTCACTTCCAGTGAATTTTTTGATTTCGGAATGGAAAATCAGCAGATTCAGTACTGTCAGTTGAATTCGGAATATAGCCACAGTTTACTCACTCTTATTATCTAATTGCTAACACGTTGTATAGATTTAGTTGAACGAAGCATTGGCATTGGCATTAGCCGAAAGTATGACAATAGTAAAATCTATCAGGAACCATTGATTTTTTAAATGAAATATAGGGAAAATATTTGTTTATTTCGTAAATGAAATTCACATTGTTGCCACTGTTTCTGAAATGCAACAATTTCATATTTTTGAATAGGACAGTTAATTATTATTATCATTATTATTATTAAAATTATAGGTATTATTATATATTTAATATCAGTTCATCAATAACAGGTTTGATAAGGTTATGTAGAACTACCATGAAGATCTGGGATGTTTTTTTCAAATTTGAACAGATTTTTCTATTTGAATCTATTCAATCGCAGATTCGTGATTTCTCAATTCAGAATTTCTTTTTACGTCCTGTCCTGTATGACTAATATAATTTTGTCATACATCCAAAAAGTATTGGTATTTTTGAAAACAATTGTATTTCAGGAACCTTCACAAATGCCCCAACTACAGTCCTTCTATCATTGTTTATGCGTTTAATTGATTCAAAAAAACTATATATTATATTTTCAGGTTGTGTGATAGTAGTAGTGAAAATGGAAGGCCCCTCCTACCTGTGTAAAACCGATGAAGTAGGCGAGATCTGCGTCAATTCCGGCGCCACTAACGCCCACTACTGGGGCCTGCAGGGTCTCACCAACACCACCTTTAAGGTAAACTTATGATAAATAAAATCTGTGGTTTGTTTCTCGAAAGATATTTACAAAAAAGATCATATCAACGTATATAAACCCAATAGATAAGCAAAGTATTGGAATTTGTTCTGAACGCTGCTGAAAAAACTCGCCATCAAATTAAATTGGAAATGTCCTAGACGACAGTCGTGTAATATTATTCGTATTTTTTGTTATGGTTATTACACAGGATGTTCTCAAAAGTGAGGTGAATATTTCAACAGGATGTAGAACACGTTATTCCACAGCCGTCTTCAACTAACAAGCCGTGAAGAAGCAGTCTGGCAACATTGTCCGAACGACCGAACTTGCACCTGTCGGCCATTCAAAGTGTGTTGTGTAGGAAGTAAACAAGGAGTTTATGGAAGGTTTTTTTAAAGTTTTCAATTATTAATTGGTGTAATATTGAGATCAAATAATTTTAAAAGTATTAGCAACAATCTAGGAATCGACTCGAGACTGAAAGTGTGTGGCAAGTGCATTCAAAATTGTGTTAAATTGGAGGTTATAGTAAATTGTACTAGTGCTGGTGTATTTGCAAGGGAATTTGTGTTGTTTTTTCAGTTTACTCCTGGAAATAAGTAAGTTATTCATTATTCCTTATAAAATATGCCTTCTCATTGTTGTGTGCCAGTATGTAAGTCAAATTACAGCTCTGAAAGAAAGCTGGGAAAGGATCATGTCTCAGTTTTTTTATTCCCAAAAGGGAAAGAATTGCGAAGTAAGTGGATAACAGCAATACCTCGAAAAAACTGGACACCATCTCAACGTTCTACAGTATGTGCAATTCATTTTATTGAAAAAGATTTCATCAGGTATGATACATTCCCTCTGCCAGATGGATCAATTGAAAAAAATTTGTTACGAGCACCAAAGTTAGTCAAAACAGCAGTTCCTTCAATTTTTCCAAATTTACCAAAATATTTTTCAAAACCAGCCAAACCATCAAGAACTGATCCAAATGAAAGACGTCAGAAATATTTAGATATAAAGTAATATAATAGAACAGTTTGAAAAATCAGACCTCATCCACAACTATGAACAGTTAGTTAGGGAATATGTCGAGAAAGTTGAAATTGATACTTGGGAAATCCATAAGATTGATGATAAATTGTATTTTTATGAATTAGATTTGCAAGCAAATGTTTTTTATCCCAATGATGTAAATACTTTACAAATTGTTTCTCAAGTTATAATATCCAATGAGATGGAGGTCCAAGTTTTTCTTGGTGATAATAAACTTGGATTCAATGAATTGAAATGGATTCTTACTCATGATATGAAATTGAATAGATGGTCACAACATGAAAATATTCTAGCTAGATTCAAAAACATCTCAGATCAAACTGACAAACACTCAGATATGAATGAAAAATTCGATATCTCCATAAGTTTTATATTAACAAAATGTTCAAAATTACGGCTTCAGTTCATGACCAAGGGAATTATTCAACCACATTATTCCTCGTTCTTCACTCTGTAAGTTCACTCTCCTGTATTTTTTACCTATTCGACAAAATAATCCGAGAAAATTACGTTAAACCAAACATTCAAAGCTCGCGCTCATATAAAAACCATTGTATTGCTAGGCTCGAATGGGACCGACGGTTTCCGTTCGTGCGACGTTGCCAGTATCTCAGCACGGCTTGTTAGTTGAAGACGGCTGTGGTTATTCGCATATATTTTAAAATTTGCGAGATAAGGACCGTTGAAAACTATTTATGCTACAAGATTCATGCTCGAAGTAATCAATATCACTACTACACTACACGGAAATAATGAAATCTTATTTAGTTCATTCACGTTATTCACTTCTCCATTACACTAAACCACGTTATTTAAATGGTGATACGAGTCGATATGAGTCTTACAGTCTCTCATCATCTCAGTTTTTTTCAAATATACCATATTCACAATATTCACAAATTCGTTATGTCGAATATTTTATTGCATTTTTTTTTCTTAAGCTGAGCAAGTCTTATGTGCATTGTTGTTAAAATCATGTCTCATTTTCATAAAATCGATTATATGCACTACACATTGGGAAGTATTGATATTTCCTCAAATTAGAAAGTATATCGATTTCGTCATCTTTATTAGGGTGATCCTTTATTACATCCTGTTGAAAAATATGTCTCAGCATAGAAAGTGAAAAATAAAAATGAGGACATCCCTCTGCCTGACTCACTAGAGTCTAGCCAGGTGACTAAGGAGCCACCCAATTTGAATAGGGTTTTAGTTCAGTGATGAACAAACGACGTCTGTATCAGGCAAGGACTTTTCCCTAGTTCTGACAGGATTGAGGATTTTTCTTCCTTATCAAATTATCAAGATAGAGAGGTTAGTTCGTTCGTACCAACTAGTGTCATTTTCATCTCGAATCATATGTAGCCGCTCAGCTAGACGACCATTTCAGAGGTTCGACTTAAAAGTGAGACACTGAATCTGAACAAAAACAGGCTAACTTGTCTATTCTTCCAATTGGTTAAGGAAGGAAAATAGAAAAGTCTTGAAGCCTATGAGAACCCTAGGCATGAATGAAATGCTTTAATTGTGAGTTGAAACCTTTTCATAACAACCCTATGAGAACCCTAGACATGAATGAAATGCTTTACTTGTGAGTTGAAACCTTCTCAAAACAACGGGTACGGGTACCATTCGCAACGACCATAAAAATCTCCCTTGTGAAATTGTCGTCGACTCGAAAGTTGGTTGTGTCACACTCGTTAAATGCTTGATATTATTGGAATGCTTCCGCTTTTATATAGATACTTTTACGGGAAATACGGGGGGAAAATGTTGTTCAGAAATCTCGGATATCATTTCATCACTCGCAATACCAGCTAGACGAACTCGTCAACCTCGAGATTTGTCGAACAACTCTCTGCAAAGGCTCGTTTGTCTATAGAACGGCAGAGCTCTAGAATTATTTGTCTAGTGAAGTATCCCTAGAAGCTATCATCTCCAAAGGTCCGAAAAAATGTCAATAATTATTTTTGGAGACTGGTTGGATTTAGCTTCGATCTATTTTCTAGAAGGCACCACATAATTCTCTCGTGTGGCATAAATGCGCACTTATTTGGTGTTCAGTTTAGCCAGCGAAAAGACATAACATAAGAAGGTGCAAGCTTCGAAAATCCTTTGAAGTTGGAGATATGTTTATGTTTTGACATTTTGCCTTCATTTGCATAAGAAATGTTCCGTACGATTTATGACATCCAATTCTGAGATTCTGAATATATAGTATATGTATCTTTCTCTAGACTTTTTATTATAATTTTTGTATAACATCAAATACATACCTGTCAATATCTTTGGGAAATCAGAACAAATGCATATCGATGGAGGACCTTGTGTCTAGGTATAGTTTCATTCGGGTAATAAAAATCGTACCACACTGGAGGGTGTTTGTTTACGATTCGGAGACTCGAAACGGTATTAATTGCAATACCTTTAAAATACACGAGGCATTTGTATATTTATATTTCAATTCCATAGCCTCTGGATTCGAATCCTAAATTGTTATATTGAAGAATCATAGAGGAATCAGTTTCCTGTAACAGGCATTTCAGTTTTGGGCGCAACTGCTTTCAAGTAAATCACATTCATGTAATGTTAAATAGGGCCACGAACTCAAGTGGCGAATTAAACCAAAGACTTTCATTCTGGATATGTTGACAACGTCGCATTTACTACTTGATGCATATTCACAGGGGCATCTGCAGCAGTCTGAATGTTGATGATATCCAAAGATACGCTAGTCAGAAGATTAGACGACTGGAATTTGTTATTTAGATTTCAAAATTGGATTCTTTATTTTATATATTTTTATGTTTGTCTGTTTTATTTGATTTACTTTTGAAGAGGAATATTTTATTTACTTTTTTCATCCGACATGATTTATTACAGAATTCTACATATACACCGTGTCCCAGCTAAAATGTCCCCCCCTGTGAAAAATCAACCGCGCGATCGAATGACTTGAAATTTGGTCACCCAGTATATTTGATGATGCCCACTCGAAATATACTATTGAATAAATCGTAGGTATACAGGGTCACACCGAAGTGCACCTCAACTATCATATTTGAATAGGGACACCTAGTATATTATTTCATATTCAAGTAGAGTTCATTATTACAAATTCAACAATGCTGGGTTTGATGGGATTTTCTCAAACGACTACGGAGATATGACAAAAAATAAAACGATTCAATAACAAATTCATATGATTGGATTTTATTAATATAACACGATCACAATCGAATGATGGGTGTCCTGCACATAACTACAGACCAGTTAAGGATTATCTTCGCCATCGGTTTGGAGACAATTTAATAACCACCAGTTGTGTCAATGGTGATAGCAACTGGCCAGCTCGGTCGCCAGACCTCACCCCACTTGATTTTTATTTATGGGGCTACTTGAAACAACAGGTTTATGAGTCGCCAATTGTGAATATGGAAGAAATTAAAGAGGAAATCACAAATTTATGCGCACAAGTTGATCGCAACGTGATACTTAGGGTCACAATGAACGTTATCAAAAGCGCTAGGAAATGTTTGCAGCAGAATGGATGACATACTGTGCAAGTGAGGTTTCAATCATTTTCTTTTCATCCGATTTCAATCGTGTTATATTAATAAAATCTAATCATATAAATTCTTTATTGAATCGTTTTATTTTTTGCCATATCTTCGTAGTCGTTTGAAAAAATTCCATCACACCCGGTATCGTTGAATTTGTAATAATGAACTCTATTTGAGTATGAAATAATATACTGGGAGTCCCTATTGAAATCGGAAAATTTAGGTGCACTTAGGTGTGACCCTGTATACCTACGATTTATTCAATAGCATATTTTGAGTGAGCATCATCAAATATACAGGGTGACCAAATTTCAAGTCATTCGATCGCGCGGTTGATTTTTTACAGGTTGGGGGACATTTTAGCTGGAACACGGTGTATATTGATGGATTAAATCGCATAGTTTGAACTTATTTTTTTTTTACACTAGTAATTTCGATACTTGAAAGAAAACTAAAGATTTCATGTTTACTAGTATCAATTCTTTTAATGAGAAAAGCATTCGTCTCTGAAAGTAACTATATCATTTCTCTTGCGTGTTAACCTTATTGAGGTGACTTTCTATGCCGCCCCCCCCCCCCCACTCAAACATCGTCTGGATCCGCCCCTGTGTATCTCTCATGCAAGCTGGCCCGAATCGTAATATTTTGTTTTGAAAAAACTTACCCTACTTATGTACTGGGTGATCAGTTAAGGGTAGCGAGCGGCCATATCTCATAAGATATTGGTCGTACCTATAGATTTGAGAAAAAAAAAATCGTGATAAAAGTCGCCAAGAGAAATTGCTGGAAATTATTTTCGAGTTTGTCAAACGTCCGGTAGATGGCGTAACACCCAACACCAAGTAGAAACATGGGATTTTTATAGATTTTTTTCTAATCAAAGTATATCGATGATATCATTTTCATATCAACTGATCATTTGCCTACATACAAAATAAAGCAGTGGGGAAGTTCAATTGTTTTTCAAGCAAACCAAGATTTCTCCCGTTTATTTCGACAGATTTTAGCAAACTTAGGCTCATATGAAAGAGCATAATTTGCCCTACAAAATGATAATTTGGTTTTGAATTTTCGACTTTTGCTGTCGCCGCTAGATGGCGTTAACTGAAGTGTTATAGGTTTTTTCCAAAAAAACAAATGTAATGGTATATTAATTTTTATATGTTTGATAAGAGGATAAATTTCTCTATAATTTAATCGAAATAATTATTGAACAAATAACTTCCAGACAGAATAGGCTCTGGTATAAGGAAGTACATAATTATATACCTATAGGTAAACATATCATTATTCAAAATATATCAACAACTATAAATTGACAAACAAAGAATAATATTTGTAAAAAAAAATGGCATGATTAATTTTATCCAGTTCGCTCCTCCCACCTTCCTGATGAACGATAATTTCTAAAATTATTATTTATTCTAGTCTGCAAAACCAGATACTTTGGCTAAGCCTGAGAACTTTTATATTATCGATTCTGGTATACAGGGTTTTTTTCGGAAAATATAGTCTCATTCATTGGCATTTCATATTATTTTTATTCAATTAATAAAAATGTTATAATAAGGGTATTATAGTAAGTGATTATTATGTATGTACATTCTGATATTTTCATTCCGTTTCTCGTTGAGTAATTTTCATTCCTGTTGGTACCCTGGCATCAATGATCTTTGGAAGAATACATGCTCTGTAGAATTTTGGAGTCATTCCATTCCATATATTCTCATTTCTGTAAATCCTCTCTACATTGAAATCATTTTCGCAGTATAGATTATGAAATCACAAAAATCCCTTTTGGTAATGTTCAGTTGGCCTTGGATTTGGTAATAATAATTGTGTGTTTCCTTCAATCTAAGAAAAAAAGAGGGAATAATAAATATTTTCCTTATACGAAAATCAACGTTTTTTCTGAGTTCAACGATTCATCACTAGTAGATATTATATTTTTATACGAAAAATAACAAACCTTATGCAATTATTATCAGTAAGAGTAAAACAGTTGGTAGATTTTTTGGACTCAGTCAATTTTCCTTCTATAGAAGGTAGGCACTGTACTTTAATGATGCCATCATCTCCAACCAAACCATCAGGAGATGCACCTAAAAATGCTGTAACTTCCACATTCTTCGTTTCTTCATATCTGCTGACTGCTTTTTGTTCATTTATTCTCCCATAAATGATCGCTGGCGACTGCAAATCTTTTTTTTTTTTTGTAGAGTAGCTGTTTCACTAAATTATGGCAAGGTGTAGTTGGTCTTCTCTTCACAACTTTACCAAAATTTGATGCGGTCAAGTAATCCGTCCGCAACTCTCTCCATAAATTATTATCGTGTTGCCCCCGTGTGCATATTTCGATAGTTTCTATTTTTTGCGAAGATGAAACTCTTTCTGCTAATTTATTCAAGAATTTTTCCTTCCTCTCTGCCATATTATCATTCTAAAATTCTGTATTTAAATTTTCAATATCTCAATTAATTTTTGAGATATTGACTGTTGAAAGCCTGAAATCCATAGCCAATCACCCTGTACATACCTAGTGAGCCGGAATAATAATAATACCTCTGCATATTGCTAAATAAATAAATTGTAAAACTTACCTTCTTGCGTTGAGTTGTTTCATCAACTTAGATCTGTTAGATCTCTTAAGAACTCTTGATGGTGGAATTTTCTTACCATTCGCCATGATTAAGCAATTACGGAACAAATGAAACAATAAACACTACACACAGCACAAGTTGTCAACAAAGACTAAATAATTTGTGTCAAGGGGTAGTAATCAGAGTAGGTAATAAGTAAAGTGGCAGGTCATGGGTCATTCTGATTGGAGCGAGGGTGTGGCCTAGCGAGGGGCGGAGATCGTAAGCGTAAATCGATTACAAGTCAAAAATCAATTTAAAATGCATTATGCAAAAAAATAATCATTTTGACCCAGCGACAAGCCGATAGGAATATGTTAGCATTGTCTTATGTGGATAAATGCGAACAAAATTAAAAAAAATTAAACAAATTCTTCATTTCCAAAAGCCATTCTACAAGAAACTGAAGGAAAAATTCGAAATATTATTTCCACGATTGATAGTATTCATCAACATCAACAGATAGTCAAAAATTCAAATAATTCTATCGATTCATTTTCATTCTGTGTTCGAATTTGAAATGCATTATTTGGTATAGGCGTTATAAAGGTAGGGAACGAATCTTTTTTGTCCGATTATGTAGCTAGCGGCGTCAAGATGAAACAAGTTATATTGTCTAGTTTCATGATTATGAATTTCAGAATTCCGTATTAAAATGAAATTCGACTTCAATATTTTATTTATGATATTATATGATATTTTAAGAGCTTCAATTCTATATATTTCATCTAAAGAATACGTATTTGTTATTTCAAACAATTGATTGGTTGGTGTATCAAATGGGAGACGATACAATACTTTTAACGATTTTCCATATAATGTTGATATTTTATTGAAATTATTTTTTGAACAAGATCCCCAAACAGTATATGAGAGTAGAGAATCATGTTTGCAATTTTGATATCAAGTTTGGGACATCTTCACAATGCACCAATAATTGGAGATATTTTTTTTGTCAGAACATCAATATGTTTGTCCCACTTCAACCTGTCATCAAACCAAATAACAAGATATTTTATCTGGTCAGTTTGTTTTAAGAGTTGTTTTTTTATTTTCAGGTTGAGGTAAATTTTTTGTTTATTTTTTTGGTGAAAAATCATATATTCTGTTTTGTTAGTATTTATCGATAAAAGGCTAGAGTGGAGCCATTTTTCAAATATTTTCAAGTCTTCATTTATCATATTTTCTAAATTTGAAGGATTCTTGCCTTCATATAAAAGTACTGTATCATCTGCATACATGGTATATTTATTCGTGAGACCAATTTCACTGATATTTTGAACATAAAGTAAATATAGTATAGGTCCTAAAACAGAGCCCTGTGGGACACCCTTATTGATTAATAGTTTATTCGACACAGAGTTGGTTGATTTTGTATTGATTGTCGATTGTCCTATTTTCAAGTTATGAATTCAAAATATTTCTCACAGTGCCTCTGAGTCCAATAATTTTATTACATTAAAAAATGGCACGCCACTGTTTTTTATCAAAATAAAAAAAATCATTTTTGTAATCTCTTATTAGTTGCTAACAAAAAGATTCTCTTGACTTTTTTCGTTAGACAAACGGTTTTAGATTGGAAAAATAAAATAGGTTTACATACTGTAAATTAGTGTTTCGAGATATGGGCGCCCCATGTAAACCTATTTTATTTTTCCAATCCAAAACCGTTATTCTAGCGAAAAAAGTCAGGAGTTCTGTTTGTTAGCAACTAATTAGAGATTAAAAAAATGATTTTTATCTTGATAAAAAACAGTGGCGTGCCATTTTTTTAAGTAATAAAATTATATTTTGGTCAATATCAACGGTTCAAAAAAAGGTAGATGATAAATTATTTTCATTAAATTCAGTAAATATGAAAATGATATCATCTATATCCTTCCATTAGACAAAATTCTATAAAAATCCCATGTTTTTACTTGGTTGTGGTTGTTACACCCTCTACCGGACGTTTGACAAACTCGAAAATAATTTTCAGCAATTTCTCTTGGCGACTTTCATCACGATTTTTTTTTCTCAAATATATACGACCAATATCTCTTGAGATATGGCCGCTCGGTTCCCTTAACTGATCACCCTGTACAATTACTCGAAGACCATCCCGTCTATGTTATCAAGGTCCAGCCGCTGACGGCCGACGGCAAGCCGCTCTCCGACGCCGAGTACACGCGCTCGGGCCTGCTCGGCTTCCTCGGCCCCGGCGGACTCGTCTTCGTGTGCGGCAGCAGGGACGGGCTGATGACGGTGACGGGCAGGAAGCACAACGCCGACGACCTCATCGCCACCGTGCTGGCGGTGGAGCCGATGAAGTTCATCTACCGGGGCAGGATCGCCGTGTTCGGGGTGCGCGTGTTGCGCGACGAGAGGATCTGCGTGGTGGCGGAGCAAAGGCCGGACTGCAGCGAAGAGGAGGTTAGTGTAGCTGATTGATCGAGAGATTTTCTCTATTACCCCAAGAAACATAGTTGTTTATAATAGGGGTTATATAAACAATGGGTGGCGGAAATTTGATCGAAAGTCAAATGATAGAAAAACATTTGATAGAAGTCTTTCGATAGAAAATCGAAAAATAGAAAGAACTTATCACCGAAAATACATTTGATCGAATGTTTTATGATAGAAAATACATTTGATCTGATTTGGCCTTGAATATCATAGTAGGCTTTATCAATGAGATAGGTTTTTAGTTTGATTTTCAGGTTTTTAATGGGCAAATTTCTGATGTTTGCAGGTAGCGCATTCCATACTTGTTTTAAATGACATGGGACATTTCTCTGTATATAACTAAGCCTAGTTAAGTCTGGTGTGAGATCCTCTTCATTTCTTGTGTTGTATTCATGCAGGAATGGAGTTTTCAAAAAATTCAAAATTATTTTTTACAAATATTATCGATTCTAAAATATATATTATGCACGTTATTGTCATGATTTTATTTTGAATAAATATTGGTTTTGCAACTTTCTCCATATTTTAGTTCGAAAATATATCTCAGGCACCTTTTTTGCATCAACGGTATGCGTTTTACATGAGTTGGGTTTCCCCACAATACAATGCCATAGCTGTTTTTTGATTGAACATAGGCATGATATGCAATTAACGCTGTTTTATTATCGACATTGAGGCTCAATATTCTAAGTGCATAGCTATATTGTGACATTGATTTTGAGATTTTGTCTATGTGATCCTTCCAGTCTATTATCAAACCCAGAAAAGACACACTTGATTCAGGTTTAGGTTTGGTGTTATTATATTCTAGTTCGATTTTCGTGTTATTTGTTTTCATTCTATCCCACTGCATCAACTGTGTCTTTTCTACATTCAACAGAAGCCCATTAGCAATATACCATTCATCTAATTGTTCCAAAGCCTGTATTGCCCTATTTCTTGTTTCTTCAGTGCTCGGTTCATTAAAGATGATAGTTGTGTCGTCAGCATACATGATGATATAATCTTCTATTACTGATTGCATTTCATTTTTATACAAAATATATAGTAGTGGACCTAAGATTGAACCTTGCGGCACACCTTTCTTAACAATTACTATATCCGATTTAACTTTGTGCATTTTTTCATTCAGTTCCACTGTTCTTTGTTTTCTTTCAAAAAGCTGGACTGTATTAGTTTTGAGGAAATTCCCCTAACTCCATAGCATTTCAATTTTTTCAATAGTATGTTATGATCTACACTGTCGAAGGCTTTGGAAAGATCAAGGTACAGTGCTGTTGGCTTATGGTTTTTATTGAGTGCATCTATGATATGAGCTGGGTTCGAATTACATGTGTCAATGATTTCAATTATTATCTACTGTGGAATTGTATTTTTTTATTGATATTTCCTATCAATTTGAATGAATTATTCGTTTGGTATACCAGGAGTGACAGTATGAAATGAAAAATTGCAAATAATCAATCATGCATTCTATATACACACTCTACATTTCAAATATGAATTTTGCATTGAGCATTTTATAATTTATATTTTACATTTCCATATGTTTCTTTTGCGAAACAAGTGCATAGCACATCGCTAAACTACTTTATTCACTTCCACCATAAATATTCTACCAATTACTTGTTTTTTCAATTATTATTGTTTGTGAATGGAGGTATATTATTATGCAATTCCAAACTTTATAAGTATTCAAGTATGAAATGGAATTGTCAAAGACCTGAAGCAGATATTTTTTCGAGTTAATTTTCAATCTGGTTGGGACACCCTGAATATTTTCTTATTTTTGTATTTAGGAAATCATTTTACATACAGTGTATGATTTTTACAGGAAGACATCATAGCCAACTAGATGAATCCACGATAATTGTTCATCAATATTCAATATAAAGACCTAAAAATTTTGTAAAATATGTATATTCAATGGATTCGTTATTGAAACATATTGGGGTGTTATTCAATATGTCAATTGTTCTTTTTGAGATGTAGATATACCTGGATTTATTATATTATGTGCATATATACATATTTTTCTCTGAAGGAGAATACAAATTCTCAACTTCAGAAGATTTTGTTTTCAAATCCTTTGTGTCCAATAGATATAATTCAATGTACGTCGTGGCATATAGCCATGAAAGTAGCTGTGTTCTGTTGAATAAACCGTGAAAGAATTGATATTTTTATCTCATAGAGAATGCGAATTCTCAATGTATCTCTTTATATATATTCATATCCATTTTTTCATGTTCATGATTTATCTGAGAATATTCCCTTTCATATACAATATCATTCCCGCCTAGAGCAACACTACGTCTTAATTCCAAAATAAATCACCACCTTGTACACACCCAAGAATATCTATGTTTCCATTCCAGTCCTTTCAATGGATGTCGAGAGTCCTACAAGCCGTCGATTCCATCCACCAAGTCGGTTTGTACTGCCTGGCCCTGGTGCCGCCAAACTACCTACCGAAAACCCCCTTGGGAGGAATACATCTATCCGAAACGAAGCGGCGCTTCATGGAGGGCAACCTGCATCCGGCCAATGTATTGATGTGCCCACACACTTGCGTCACGAACCTGCCCAAGCCGCGAGAAGTGCATTCAGGTAAAGTTCGTCTGGGTAAACACACCTTTTTCAATTGTAATTGTAAAGTATAACTTATATCGAAGACTGGAACCTTTGGCACGATAATACACTACCGATTTTTTAAACGCCTCGACACGTGTTTCGCTAACTATGTTAGCATCTTCAGGAGAAGATTAAAACTAAATATCCTATTCTAGTGTGCTGCTTATACAGTGTGTCCCACTTACCATGCTCACCATGGGAATCTTTTTAACGGTGAGAGATACGAGGTCGGTTAAATGACACCAAATGTGGAGTTTGTCAAGGCCAACTATAATATGAAAAAATATTTTGATAAAATCTATTCGTTTTTGTTTTATACGCAAAAAACAGATTTTGATCATTTTCATGTCTCCTCCATAACTTCTTTATTTATGAAAATATTCAAATAGGAATTTCACATTCTAATGGCAGTTTTTCTAAGTGATTTCGAAAAATATATAAAATTCATATCAACTTCTCTAGAATTTGAGATATCAGCACCAACTTTGGTTTTTCAAATGTAGGTCATAGCTCACTATGACTTATTTACAAATAAATTTTTTTTCTCTTCCAGATGATATGTCGCAGTAATAGTTTTGTGTTGATAACGGAGTTATCGTCATTTACACAAAAAAAAATTATTTGGAAGCCGCCATCTTGAATTTATAAATTTTAACAAAAAAATCATGATCTCCGACCTCAAAAACCCCCACTTACCAATTTTGAATGGAATCGGACCGAATCTTGTCCGCCATCAATTAAAAAAAATGGCTGCTCCAAGATGGCGGACATGATTTGGTCCGATTCCATCCAAAATTGATAAGTGGGGGTTTTCGAGGTCGGAGATCATGATTTTTTTGTTAAAATTTATAAATTCACGATGGCGGCTTCCAAATAATTTTTTGTTTTTGTATAAATGACGATAACTCCGTTGTTATCAACACAAAACTATTACTGCGACATATCATCTGTAAGAGAAAAAAAAGTTATTTTTAACTAAGTCATAGTGAGCTATGACCTACATTTGAAAAACCAAAGTTGGTGCTGATATCTCAAATTCTAGAAGAGTTGGTATGAATTTCATATTTTTTTCGAAATCACTCTGGAAAACTGCCATGAAAATGTGAAATTCCTATTTGAATATTTTCATAAATGAAGAAGAAATGATCAAAATCTGTTTTTGCGTATAAAACAAAAACGAATAGATTTTATCAAAATATTTTTTCACATTATAGTTGGCCTTGACAAACTCCACATTTGGTGTCATTTAATCGACCTCGTATCTCTCACCGTTAAAAAGATACCCATGGTGAGCATGGTAAGTGGGACACACTGTATACTAGGTATGTGTTCACCCAACCGTGAAAAATACTAACCGTCAAGTTAATGTTTGTCATAGTTGAGTTCACATGTTGATCTTAATTTCTATATTACTCAACTATATAGAGGGCTATATGGAATAGGTCCATTATCCTTATTCATTACTCTATTACTATTCTTAAATATCTCTAAGCTCTCATATGCGTCTAATTTTCTAATATTATTAACTTGCTTAACTAATTTGAGGTTAATAATATGTGATGCCTCACTCACAAACTCACTCACTTCTCTAGAACACCGTTGAAAAGTTGGCGATCTGACTCTATTTTATAGATTTTTTCATGGACGATGCTCTTCTGAAATATCAACAATTGTACCTCCCTTGGCAGTCCCCGCGAGATTAACCCGTCGAGTTGAGGCTTCGCGCCCCTTCGTGGTCACTTTGGAGACCTGCAGAACGTATCTTTCCAAAGACTCGTTCATCCAACGAACAGCGAGGCTCTCCAACACTTTGCCAAGGGAGGTGTTCCCCAAGGCATATAACCTCCAGAAATTCAAGAAGAACACCAATTCCTACCTTATTTCCTTGGGTTCTCACGATGTTTTCTGAACATCACAGGATATCCACTTTCGTGAGAACCAGAACATTAAAAAATATTCGGCTACATACGATTTATCAAGTGGATGAAAAGATCTCTAGAAGAATCCCAATCCCGTTCAATCACAAGTAAACAAAGGGACTTGATGAGGTTTTCAAAGACTTAGGTTTTGAAAGCGTTTATCAGTCTGGGTCAAAATTAGGCAATTTATTAGGCAATCCGAAAGATGAAGTGGACACACTTGAGAAGTCGGGAACATACGAAATAAGTTGTAATGATTGTGATAAAACATATATAGGACAAACCAGGCGACCCATAAAACCAAGGTTCAAAGAACATATAGCACATTTAAAATATGGTCGGTTATATAAATCGTGTGTAGCCGAACATATGTTCAATCACAATCATTACACACATGTTACTGACCTCAAATTAGTTAAGCAAGTTGATAATATTAGAAAATTAGACGCATATGAAAGCTTAGAGATATTTAAGAATAGTAATAGAGTAATGAATAAGGATACTGAACCTTTTCCATATAGCCCTCTATATAGTTTGGTAATATAAAAATTAAGATTAACATTTGAACTCAACCATGAAAAACATTAACTTGACGGTTAGTATTTTTCACGGTTGGGTGAACATATACTTAGTATATAATCAGCACACTAGAATAGGATATTTAGTTTTAATCTTCTCCTGGAGATGCTAACATAGTTAGCGAAACATGTGTCGAGACATTTAAAAAATCGGTTTGGTTAGTGGAAAAACAGTGTAGTGTGAAGTATAACTTGTAATTCAGATTAGTGAAATGTAATTCAGAAAGTGTAACTTGTGATTCAGAATAGTCGATTTTAAATAAGAAAGCGTTAATTATTGTAATTCAGAGTAAAACATGGACTTAAATTAGGATAGAGAATAGAGTAACAAATGGTATTTTACGCTGTTAACTTCAATATTTTATAGTATCGACCAACGGGCATATCTTGAAATAACGGGTCTTCAACAATGATGGAGTGCCACGTGACTGTTTATCATGAGGCTTCTCTTTTCCACCCATGTTAAAGAGATACGGATGTATTCTTGGTAGCAAAGTAAACTGTCACGTGATTTTCAATCATCGTTCAAGACCCGGCACCAGAGCTCCAGCATGAAGAATGGTGGTGTGTTGTGCAACCCTAGCACAATCACCTACAACAATTATTGTATCTTTGGCCTGATCAATATTCTGTTTAGGCTAAGATACACAAGTCGTTGTCACAGATCAACAAACCTTAATCTGTGTCGTTGTTCTCCAACACCTAGAACTTCAACTTGTGGTACTCGAAGATTCACTTTTATATGACACTTTATTTTGGACCAGATTGTTTTAATTAGGTTCAGCATTGGGGAGTCTGGACTGTTAACGATTGTGATTTTTGTTTCGGGTTTACAAACGTTAAACTTTTAAATTGTACTTTGAAGTACGAGTAAAGAGATAATTATGATATTTTATGAAACTAAATCCTACCTGATGTTAAAGCTTCCTGTAGCATATTTTTACTACCAAACATCAAGAAAAAATGAGGTTTTATTCTGAAAGTTTATTGCTTACCAAATATAAAGTTCTTGCGAGAAGAGGACCATCCCAAGAGAATTGAGGCGAGAGATACCCCGTACCATATGTCCTTTTATTGATGTGCGCATGACAGTCTTCCTACGAGGCTAGCTACTTACCTTCATTCAGAGAACACAAAACACACACACAATTACAAGTTACACTTTCTGAAGTACATTTCACTAATCTGAATTACATATTACGCTTTCTGAATTACAATCAACAAATCTGAATTACATCTTGTACATACATACATACATACATACATACATACATATAGCTTTATTCAGGTAAATTCAGTTAACAATCTATATAGGAAGTCACCTAAGCAATGCTTGTGTTGTGAACATCCTATAACGATAATAGTTATAATAGTAATAATAATAAAACATGAAATTTCATCATTGAAACAAAAGATTGACATAAAAGAACAAATTGAACTTAAGAATAACATCGAAATCAAAGGTATACCAGAACAACAAGATATTGATGACGAAGAAATTATACAGAAAGTATTTTTCAAAATTGGCATCCAGAAAGAATCCAGAGAAGTCGTAAATATAAAAAGAATAAAGAAAATATCTGAGAATTCTCAAGAACTAATAAAAATCAGTTTGAAAAATGAGGCAACAAAATTCAAGATTGCAAATGCGGCGAAACAATATTTCAAATTGAATGGTGCTCTATCAACTGAAGATTTGGGAATTAAAGCTAGAAGAACTATAATATATATCAATGAAGAACTGACGAAAAGGAACAAATACTTATTGGGAAAAACTAAGGAATTGTTGAGGTCGAATTATAAGTATATATGGTGGAAAAATAGTAAAATTTTCGTCAGAAAAAATGAAAATGAAAAACCTATCATTATAAATGATGAAAGCGATATAACAAAATTGGCGGAAACTCATTGATAAATTCTTCATTTGACAATTTCATCACATAACTTTTATAAATTTTTCTTTTTTATGGATTCATATATTCAAAGGCTGGATGATAGTATCGTTGATACAAAATTGATTGAAAATTTCTTTAATTATAAGCAAAACAGAATAATAAATAAAAGTAAATTCACAATTTTTCATAATAATATTCGCAGCATAAATAAAAATTTTTATGAAGAAATATTACTAATAAAACAGTTGGAAGAATTTGATGTGATTATTTTCACGGAAACCTTTCAACTTTCAAATACAAACTTATTTAATTTGGATGGTTACGATTTAATTTACAATAACGGGAGTTTAAATCAAAATGATGGTGTTATATATATATATATAGATGTCAAAAATAAATATAGTTATAATCATGAAATTATTCCAATAGGTTCAATAAAGGTAATTCATATCAAGATATATACAGGGTGTTGCAAAATTCGACCGACAACGTGTGACAGGTGATAGCCCTCGTGATTTCATAATCACTGAGATAGGGGCATACAGTCTTCAACTGTTCAGTTCTCGAGATACAGGGCGTTGAAG